AAACTGGTATCCTAAAGCAGAGGTCCCCATCCCTTTGGGCACCAGGGACCGGTTCCGTGGACCAGAGAGTGTGGGTTTGTGTGCTGCCTGAATCCCACGAATGGGGCTTTGCTTATTTGTGCAGACCGGTTGCTGGCATGTCGCGGCCCAGTACCTGTCCACAGACTGGAGGTTGGGGACTCCTGTCCTAAAGCCTCCCCCATCCCCGAGGCACCCCATATTTTATTTAATGACCCACATGTTTGTTTCACAACTACATTAGGGAGAGCAGGGATGGAGATTATTAAGCAAGGCCATCTCACTTAACAGCCATCACCATTGGCAACTTTAATGGGCAGGTTCCAGAATGGTTATAAGTCGAGGACTACTTGTAGATAATTTGGTACATTTTGACGATCCCAAGAAACTATTTTCAAATTTTCCAGGCACCAAAGAATCCTCCCATGCTCCAATGTAACCACCCTTCTCTTTATATATAGTTAGAAAACTTTATTAAGCTTCTTTAATCATAGCTAATATTATTGTCACATCTTTTTCCCAAAATGCTCCCTGTCTCTCTTAATGAAATACTTATTTCTGATTTCATATTTAGGTTCACCTGGGCCTATTTTATTAATTTTTATTAAGTTGGGGCCTTAATAATATGATGTTGTTGGGGATAATTTAATGTTAGGGATCTTATAAGTCCTGATTGCTTAGCAATAGTCTTTCTACTTGGCTGTTTCATGCATTTCTACAAAAGTCTAATGTGACACTGGCAAAGAGGGCCTCTCTCTATGTTTGTATATATTACATAATTTTACTTTGGACCTCATTCTCAGACATATTAATTAGTGTATCAATTTAATCTATGTCATTTGGGATTCATGTATCTTATATACGGTAATATTTTTTGCCACCTACAACATTCACCCATTATAGATTTCTAGATATGTGGCTACTATGTTATTCTATGCAGAATATGCATGAGATAGCATGCTTGTATCAAATTCCAACTGGAAATCTCATTTACAAATTCCAATTGTATTTTTTTCACATTTTATTTAAGTTTTCTTTGGACTTCTTTGTCTAAATTCAATCACAAAACCAATTATCGTAATCTAACCTATGATTTCCACTGAACCCACATTTTGCATCAATTTGTTCCAGTTGTGTTATGATGCATGTGCATTCCCTTGTCCTGCCAATGTAGCCAGAACCCCTCAAATACTCATTTATTTGTTTCCCTTTATTTCTTTCCTGCTTTTGCTTAGGTATTCATTTTCAGGGCCTGCCATTCTGCTGGGGTGTATGTGCTTGCTATGTGATTTTCCTTGCTCTGTGCTGTATGGGGTGCCCTCTCTCTGGGTGAGAGGAATGTGACATGAAAACATCTGCCTTATTTCCAGACATTGGAGCCTGGAACCGTCAGGACCTTTTGAAACGATGCCTATTTCAAGAGTTATGCTTTCTTGGGATATATAGTTGAGGCAGATCCTTACATAAAGCAAGGTCTGCAATAGTGCCCAACCCGGAGAAGCATCTGTCCTACCAAGGGGGGCCGTGCACAACATGTCTTTACATGATAGCGAAATGGGAGAAGCTGGAACTGAAGACTGTAGTGTGTCAACTGTCCAGGTCTATCCCGGAGAAGGCCCCTCCACCTGGTTGGAGGAAGCTGCTGCCCTAGAAACACTCCTTGAGGCCGAAATGGTCACTCGGCGTTGGGAAAAAGGAAGACTGGGAGGAAAGAACCCAAAGAGTAACTTTCACCTGAGAAGGTCAGAAGAGGACTCAAAAGAAAAGAACGGAAGATCTTTCCAATGATGAAGAACCAGACAGGCAGTTGGACCTGATGGAGGGGATCTTGAAGCGAGCCATGCACTACATGGTGGAAGCTTTTGAGGACCTAAAAGCCAAATCCCTGGGCTGCCCAGAAAAGAAGGAAGAACTCAATGAAAGATGGTTTGGCTTAGGTTGGGGAGAAGTTGTATGTGCCTGCAAGTCAGAGACTGAGAATCATGCAGGCCTGTCACAATTCGAAAATAGCTGGACACTTTGGGTTTGTAAAGACTCTTCACCTGCTTAAGCGGCAATTTTGGTAGCCATCCTTAAAGAAGGACATTGAAAGCTATGTGGCCAGCTGCCCGACTTGTGCTGCTGCGAAACAGAGACAGGGAAAAATGCCTGGCCTCCTACAGTCGGTACTGAGCTCTTCAGCACCCTAGAGAGAGAAAGTGCAGAAAACAATGTCATTTGGGTTGTCACTTATTTGTTCTCTAAACAAGCCCATTTTATCCCATGTCAGAAGATCCCAACTGCAAAGACTTTGGCTAATTTGTTTGTGCAGCACATTTATCATCTCCATAGTGCTCCAAAATGCATAATATTGGATAGGGGGGTTCAATTTACCTCTAAGTTCTGGAAGGCCTTTTTGGACCTCTTAGATTCTGATCAGGGACTGTTATCTAGGCATCATCCTCAAATGAATGGGGGAACAAAATGAATGAACTCAGTTCTAGAACAGTACCTCCATTGTTTTATTAATTATCAACAGGACAATTGTATTGAACTGCTGCCTTTTGCTGAAGTGGCTTATAATAATGCAGTGCACTCCAGTACTGGGTTCACTCCTTTCCAAGTGCCTAATGGCCAGAGTTTCACCCCTATGCCTGAGTTACCTGCTAACAAGCCTGCTATCCCCTCCCTTAAGGACTGGGTTCATCAGTTGCAGTTCATCTGGCCAGTGGTTAGAAAAGCTTTGGACAAGGCCAGAGAAGCTTATAAGGCACACGCTGATAAAAAAAAAAAAAGAATGGAGCCTAAGCCTTTCCATGTGGGAGAGAGGGTTTACCTTTCTACTAGATTCCTACAGTCGCTACAGACATCAAAGAAGCTGGGGCTGAAGTATATCAGTCCTTTTCCCATTAAATGCATTATCAATCCTGTCATGGTGGAGTTGGAACTCCCTAAGAGTTTGAGGCAAATCCACCCGTTTTTCCACTGCAATTTGTTAAAACCTGAGGTCACTTCTAAATTACGACCTGCCACCACTCCTGTCTCTCAGCCCATTATGGTAGAAGGTAAACAACACTTCAAAATTAAAGACATTTTAGATTCACGCAAACATCATGGGGCCACACAATATTTAGTGGCCTGGAAAGATTTACCCACTTCACAAAATGAATGGGTTTATAAAAAACACATTCACACTGCTAGGTTGCTCAAATGTTTTCATGAGCGCTATCCTGATAAGCCTAACTGATGTATTTGTTTTCTTTTCCCCTTCCCGTTCTTGCTTTGCAGGTGGATTTGTCTTTCTATTAGGGGGCCATATGTCAGAACCCCTCATATACTCATTTATTCGTTTCCCTTTATCTCTTTCCTGCTTTTGCTTATGTATTCAATTTTGGGGCCTGCCATTCTGCTAGTGGTGTTGTGCTTGCTATGTGATTTGCCCTGCTATGCTCTGTACGGGTTGCTCTCCCTCTGGGTAAGAGGAATGTGACATGAATTGCCTTTTTGATTTGCATGCCAAATCTTTAGACCTTGCTTTGCTTTCTAGCCATCACTAACTTTCAATAAAAGTTCCTTTTGAAATGATGCCTGTTTCAAGAGTTCTGCTTTCTTGGGAGATCTAGTTGAGGCAGATCCTTACACAGTCCCAAATGCTCAGAGTTCCACAATTTCTGCAACATCAGCAACATTATCAATGTTTATCAATAGTATTAATATTATTGATCAGTAAATTCACTCATTGCTAGAACTTGCAAGACCTGGTTTTCTGATAATGGAATGGCATTAACCATGGTTCTTATTCATGCAGATGTAAGTCCATACCATCTCTAAAGGGAATCATGAAAAGAGTACATTTATGGAAGAATATGATGAAATATCATGAATGAATGAGATCATTATTTTGTATCCATAATGCAGATGTGTTTTTGAGTTACTACTGAATGGTAGAAATATATCCTAGGAAACTTGTTCAGTTACAAACTAGCTATGAAAAATATATTTAACTGATGAAATAAGGACATAAAAATAAAATTGGGTGATTTATCAGATTTATAATATAAAATTATGACATTGTATACATAAATAATAATCAAAGATCAGGTAATGCTTGCTTTGTTTTGCTTAGTTTCTTCTGTTATATTCATAGTTTACTTAAGCTGAGTTTCTTTAAAATTTAGATTTAAGGAATATATTTATAAACTGGTTTTTTTTTCGTTTTACAACGCTGTAATACCTTTTATGGGAGTGGAGTCGGGGTGACTGAATGGAGCTTAGCATTTACTGGCCAGATGTCCATCCTGATACATACGGGGAGTTCACAGCACATATTTTCTCTTTGAGTCCTGATAGAGAAACATCTCTCACTGACTAGGATTAAACTCTCAACCTTCCAAGTGGGAGACAAATATCTTCACCCCCTAGGCCACTGTGCCACACACACACATATACACACATACATACATATATATATGTTGTCTTTAATAATGTTAAAAACAAGAATCCCGGGTATACACATATTGTGGCAGTAATAAAAGTATCCGAACACCAGGATAAAAATCTTAAACCAAAGCTGTTTAATCTACAAAAAGTACTAAGCTTTCGTCGGCCAAACTACCGACATCGTCAGAGTGTAAAAAACGCCAGATCCGGGAGTTAGTTTATATAACTGGCCACCTCTGTGCTCTAACTCTTGAACGGGTCATTGGTCCATTCATTAGTACCGGCCATGCTGATCTTAAAGGGCCTGTGCTTGTCATCTAAAAAATGATGAATTCAAGAACCCTTTTCAGAATTTATGAATAAATGTTTCCTGAATTGCAAATGATAGGGTATATTGATCCTTTTTATTAGCAATCTAATAAAAATATCAAGTATCAAATATATACTGATATTTGAAATTATACTGATGTATGTAGATATACAGTAAATGTATATAGATTATTGAATTTTAAAAGGCCATTGCTGGAAATCTCTTTAAGTGTCCTCTTCATTTGTTTCTACAGCTGTCTCAAACTTGGATGCAGAAAGCAAATTGAATGTGTATTATCATGCCCCTTGGCATCAGGAGAGAAACATTTTTCTTCCTTCCACCAGACCAGCATGTGTAGAGGAACTGCATCGCCATGCCAAGCAGAATTTGAGAGCCTTGAGGAGGGGTAATTTTTAATTTCTGTATAATTTACAAAAATCCAAACAGAGGTAGTCCTTGACTTACAACCATTCATTTAGCAACCGTTTGAAGTTACAGTGGCACTGAAAAAAGTCCACTTAAGACTGGTCATCAAACTTATGACCGTCACAGCATTCCCAGGATCACATGATCAAAATTTGGGTGCTTGACAGCTGACACATATTTACAATGGTTGCAGCAACTTGGAGTCAAGGGATCGCCATTTGTAACTTTTCCAGCTGGCTCCTGGCAAGCAGTCAATGGGGGAAGCCAGATTTGCTTAATGACCACATGATTGAGTTAGCAACTTAGCAGTGATTCACTTGGCAAAAAAGTAATAAAATCAGGCATGACTCACTTAACAACTGCCTTGCTTAGCAACAGAACTTCTGGTCCCAATTGTGGCTGTGAGTTGAGGACTACCTGTTTAGGTTCCAGAGTAATTAATGAAATAAGTGCATTTCCTGTAATAGCATGTTAATTCACCTCTATTTTCATCAGCTCTCCTTCATTAGTTAGCTCATAAGTCCAACAAGGCCAATGTAGCCATGACCAGGTCTTGAACATTTTAATTTTTTTAAATTCTGGTAAGGCTGCAAAATATAGGGCAAGGCCAGTTTAGGTCTTTAACTTTCCTCTCCTCTCATTCTTACATTAAAATCTATTTCCAGACAGTTTCTCTTTGCTGCCAAGATATCTCTTATATATGGATCATTGTTTTCTGCTTAAAAATATACTTGTAAAATAGTACTACAGATTACTGAGTGCATCACTTCGCAAGAATGTGAATTTGAAAACCAGCCTGCCTTTATTTTTTTTTAAATTGGTTAAATCCATAAACTATACCTTAATCTTGCAGGAACTTTGATAAACTGGTTAGGAAAAAGAAAACACTGTAGTTACTTTCAGCCAACAATTCAATCAGATTAGAGAGAAGCCAACCACACAAAATTCATCTGTAATAAATTAAGTCATATTGTGTCATCTTCACATCATAGGTTTTTTATGAACACCATGTACAGTACATTAAGAAAGTATTCAGACCCCCTTCACTTTTGTCAATTTTGTGTAAGTTCAGCCTGGTTCTACAGTTGTTGAAATTCAATTTTTTCTCATTAATCTATACTCAGTACTCCATAATGACAAAGTGAAAACAGAATTTTAGAAATGCCTGTAAATTTATTAAAAAGAAAAATGTGAAATATCACATTGGCATAAGAATTCAGACACTTTGCAACAACACTTGAAATTTAGCTCAAGTGCCTCCCATTTCTCTTGATCATTGCTGACATGTTTCTACATCTTGATTGGAGTTGAACTGTGGTAAATTAAATTGATTGGACATGATTTGGAAAGGCACACACCTCTCTATAGAAGGTCTCACAGCTGACAATGCATGCTGTAGCAGAGCAAAAGCCATGAGGTCAAAGGAACTGCCTGCAGAGTTCAGAGACAGGATTATTTCAAGGCATAGATCTGGGGAAGACTACAGTAAAATTTCTGTTATACTGAAGGTTCCTAAGAGCACAATGGCCTCCATTGTTCTCAGTTGGAAGAAGTTTGGCACAACCAGACTCTTCCAAGAACTGGTTGCCCAATCAAACTGAGCAATCGAGGGAGAAGGGCCTTAGTAAAAGAGGTGACCAAGGACCTGATGATCACTCTGAGTGAGCTCCAGAGATCCTGTGTGGAGATGGCACAGAGTTCTAGAAGGACAATCATCACGGCAGTCCTCCACCAATCTGGGCTTTATGGCAGAGTGGCTAGCCCGAAACCTCTCCTCAGTGAAAGCTCACTTGGAGTTCGCAAAAGAAGCATCTGAAGGACTCTCAGACTGTGAGGAACAAGATTCTCTGGTCTGATGAAACCAAGATTGAACTGTTTGGCCTCAATTCTAAACATTATGCCCGGAGGAAACCAGGCACCGCTCATCACCTGTCCAGACCAGACTGGGAGACTGGTCAGAATTGAGGGAAAGCTGAATGAAGCAAAGGACAGGGATAGCATCAATGAAAACCTGTTCCACAGTACTCAGGATCTCAGACTGGGCTGAAACTTTACTTTCCAATATGACATTGCTTCTAAGCACACAGCCAAGACAACACAGGAGTGGCTTAGGGACAATTCTGTGAATGTCCTAGAATGGCCCAGCCAGAGCCCTGACCTAAATCCTATTGAACATCTCTGGAGGGACCTGAAAATGGGGTCCACCAACAGTTGCCATCCAACCTGATTGAGCTTGAGAGGATTTGCAAGGAAGAATGGCAGAAATTTCTCCAATCCAGGTGTGCAAAGCTTGTCACATCATATCCAAAAAGACTCAAGGTTGTAATTGCTGCCAAAAGTGCTTCAACAAAGTACTGAGTGAAGGTTCTGAATACTTATGCCAATGTGATATTTCAGTTGTTTTCTTTTTAATAAATTTACAGACATTTTTAAAATTCTGTTTTCACTTTGTCATTATGGGGTACTGAGTGTAGATTAATGAGGAAAAAATGAATTTCAACAACTGTAGAATCAGGCTGCAGCATAACAAAATGGATAAAAATGAAGGGGTTCTGAATACTTTCTGAATCCACTGTAGTTATTTTCGAACAATATAATAATTTGCCATTGTTTAAGTTCATTGTTTTCTCAATTTCCCAATCTTGCCGACATCTTGGTATTTCCTGACAGTCTTTCCTCCCAGCATTCATCAGGCCTAAACTCTGTTTAACACTTTTCAAAGTAAGCTTGCTTAGTTGTTGCCATCTGTTAAGGCAATAAATTAAGATAAGGTCTATTGTACATAAATTGTCCCCCCCCCTTATAGTATACATATACCTATGGATTTAGATTTTATTCCTTTTGATAGGAATAGTTGATAGGTTCCACTTTTGAATTCTTAAAACATGTCATCCTTAGATATTAGCATAAATAATCTGTTCTCTTCCTAACATTTCAGAACAATAACAGCATATTTTAAATATGTGTAATTGCTTTAAAATAATATATTAAATAATTTCACAACAAATAGAGGGTGAGACTTATTTTAATAGGATTGCAAAGAGCTAAAAGGGGAAATATTGTTATAGTGATAGTAAAATTATAACAGAGCTCTCTGGATGTTAGCTATTCTGTTTTAGATAAATTTTATCTTTTTCTGCCATCTTGTGGTCAGGAAATAGTTCCTTAAATAAAGAACGTAAAACAAAAATATATTAAGATCAGGACTTTAATATGTTTCCAAAACACAATGTCATATGTAATGAGAAGTATACATTATACTTCTACTGTACTTTATTATAAAATGGTTTTTCAAAATACAATTACATTCAAGTTTGCCTTAAATGTTTTGCATCAATCGTAGAACAATTTTTACCTCTGGACAGTCAAAGTTACAATATGGCATCTTCATTCCCTACCATATGGGTTTTATTGATGATAGATGCTGAATGAAAGAGAACAAATGAAAACAGAATTTGTTTTTTTCATACATGCATTTTTCAAAGATGTTAGTTTCATCATAGTATCCAATAAAAAGATAGCGTGAAATTAGTTATCACTGAAATGTATTTATAAGCAAGCATTTGTGCCATTGAGTCCATTTTTAATTCCTGGTGACTGACAAGTCTTTGCAGTTTTCTTGGCAATGTTGTTTAGAAGTAATTTGCCATTGCCTGGCTCCTAGGGCTAAAAGAGAGTGACTGGCTCATGGTCATCCAGTTGGCTTTGTGATCAAATGGGACTAAAACTCTCAGTCTCCTAGTTTTTTAGCCTGATACCTTAACCACATAAAATTGGCTTTATCAGTGAGGCACCAGGTTTTTTTAGAAAATTCCACCACTTTTCATTGAAATATATAATGTAGAAGATAACTTCCAATTAAATATCTGTGTTTTTGCCATGAGTTCATTCAGAGGCTTTCCATTCTCCCTAACTGTGCCATTTACAATATGATCATTCTGAAAGTCAAAATATATTGACAGAACTATGCATAGATAGTTACTGCATGTAATTCATCACTAAGTGTAATTATCATGCAGTGCATCTAGATTGAAGTTTACATATTTTCTGCCAGGAGCCTATTTTTAAATGTACAATATATCTTGCTGAACAATGGTCTTTCTTACAGAGCACCGAAATCAGGGTAATAACCGAGAACAAAAAACTGTGAGCCACACTGTGGTAGCTCCCCCATTTCCGTCTTTTCCTGTGATTCACACTAAGAAGAAAAAAGAGACTAAGGACCATCACTTGCTAAAAGTAAGTTCTTCCTCATCTTCTCAATGCAACTGACGGGGAAAAAATTGCCAGGTGATGCCGAGAGAAACAGCATCTGCCAAGCCTCTGTTACATTGTTATTAAAGACATAAAGGTGAAGCCTAATTATCAGTAGATTACAAAGTGAATAATTGTTCATTTCCTTACCTCAATTTCCTGCTGTTATGTTGTTTTTTTTAATCAACCCACACTTTTTAAAAAAAATGTTTACTCTTTTTCTTGGCCTCATTATAAATTCTAAATTTAAATACAAGACAATTTTTAACAAATGAGTAATCATTTGTGTAAGTCAGAAGGAGCCTATGCCAGGATATAGGCATTTAAGTGTGACAATAATTGTCAATAAAGCAATAACATGAGGAGTTCTATTGCAAAATAGTCATGCAGGTGCAGTGGTTCTCAACATTTTTAATGCCGCGACCCCTAACCGGTCGTAAGTCAAGGAGTACTCAACCAGTCGTAAGTCGAGGACTACTCAACTGGTGCAGCACCGTTTGCAGAATGGGACTTTTGGCGGGCTCAGCAGGGAAGAGACAGCCTGGACAATTCCTATTGGCTTTTGAAAGCCAATAGAATTAGACTCTATTCAAGAGAGTCTATTCTATTGGCTTTCAAAAGCCAATAGAATAAAAGGGAGTAGCACAGCTAAGAAAAAGGGGGAAAAAATGGCGGACTGTGTTGTTTGGCGACCCCCGTGAAATGGTCGTTCAACCCCAAATGGGGTCCCAACCCACAGGTTGAGAACCACTGTGCTGGTGTATTAACTAGAGAAGATGCCATCAAATAGTCTTCTTTTATTGAATGATTAATTAGCTTCTTCTAAACTATAATCCTTCAAGTGGGGGTACTACAACTCTCAGAAGTCAAATTCACACCAAATATGGTAAAAGAAAAATTGTAGTAGTGATACAGACACAAGGCACCATGTTAGAAAAGGCTGTTTTTATTACATTTCAAGTTATATAAAAATTCACTGAAAGTAAGTGGCCTTGTTACTCTAGGTCATAGGTAGGCAACCTGCGGCTCCGGAGCCGCGTGCGGCTCTTTGAGTCTTCTCCTGCGGCTCCTGCGGCATTTGCAGAGAGAGACAGAGAGATGCACTTGCGATTCTCTCTCTCTCTCTCTCTCTCTCTCTCTCTCTCTCTCTCTCTCTCTCTCTCTGTGTGTGTGTGTGTGTGTGTGTGTGTGTGTGTGTGTGTGTAAAAAAGTGAGTGGCATCACCCTGTTCCACGAGCTGACAAGCTTATTGGGCAGGGCTCCTCCCTTTGCTGCATCTCTGCAGGAAGCAAGAAGCAAGAAGGGCAGGAGAGAGCCAGCCTGTTGGAGAACAGCTTGAAGCCAGCTTGCCAGGTTAGCAGAAGATCGGAGAGAGGGTGAGAGAGGGGAGGGAAAGAAAGAGAGAGGGAGAGAAAGAGGGAGAGAAAGAGAGAGAGGGGGGAGAGGAAAGAGAGAGAGAGAGAGGAAAGAGAAAGAGGGAGGGAGGGAGAGAGGAAGAGAGAGAAAGAAAGAGGGGGGAAGCGCAAGTGCCTCTCTCTCTCTCTCTCTCTCTCACACACACACACACACACACACTGAGTGGGGGAAGAGGACTGGCAGACCAAGGGCAGAAAGAGGGAGAGGGAGGGAGAGAGAGACAGAGAGAGACACCCTTTTGACATCTAAAATGAAGATAACACTGCATATATCCTTTTTTACGTTTATGACATATATATCATATATAGTATACACACACACATACACACACATACACACACCTATAATAAAGGAAAAAAGGATATATGCAGTGTTAACTTCATTTTAGATATCAGAAGGGTTTTGCGGCTCCCAGTGTTTTGTTGTCGGTGCAAGTGGCTCTATGAGTGTTTTGGGTTGCCTACCCCTGCTCTAGGTCAATGTTTCTCAACCTTAACAACCTGAAGATGTTTGGACTTTAACTTGCTGACTTGGGTCATCCAAAATTTTCAAGTATCTACAACACAGGTGTCAAACTTGATCGCATCACATGAAATATCGTGATGTGACATTTTTTGCCTTTGCGGAGCCGGACTGGGTGTGGCCTGCATGTGACGCATCCATCCCATGAGCCACCAGTTTGACACCCCTGATTTACAAGAATAGAGGTGGTAGTGAGGTTCCATGGGGCTTTGCTTTGCATCATGTGACTGAGATATTTACACGGGGAAAGAGGAGATTTTCTCTTCTGAAACCATCTTTTATGCTGAGAGTGTATTCTGTTTTGCAGCTCATGGATTGTTTCTTCTTCTTTCTCTAAATTGGTGCCCTCCAAATATTTGATGATCACTCCCATCATTCTCAGCCATCGTGGCCAATTTCAATATTAAGTCACATAGACAATGTTATTGATATTTCTATATCAGCTAACAGCAATCAGTTTCATAAATAATGTACATACAATATGTAAAATAATAAGGGCAACATTATGAAGAAAAATTAAAAGTTGTTTTAATGCTGCAGTGGGTTAACTAGCTTTTATAAATTATACATGGTTCCATTTCATCAGAAATTCCATGACTAGATTACTTGAGATTAATAGGCAAAAGTTACCGATCTGATACTCCCCATACCCATTTCCATTGTTTAACTATATAGCAGGGATGGTGAACCTTTTAGAGACCGAGTGCCCAAACTGCAACCCAAAACCCACTAATGTATTGTCAAGTGCCCGGTGGGCATTGCCCATTGGGTGGGTGTGGCCCATTGAGTGGGCATGACCCATTGGGTGGGGATGGCTGCGGTGGTCACGGCAGACTGGGTGGATGTGGCCGGGGTGGGCATGGCCAACTTGATGTTGCTCGTGGGGAGGGACCCCTGTGAGGGCCAGGCAGGGTTGGGGGAGATCCAGGGGGACTCTGTTGGGTGGGATGGTGGGCAGGAGGCTTATCATGCGGGGTGAGGTGAGGCGAGGCAGGGGGCAGGACAGAGGTGCCATTGCCGCAGGGCAAGGCAAGGTGAGGCAGGAGCCGGGGTAGCTGTTGCCTGACACCATCGGCCCCTGCATACAGCGAGCGCATGGGGGCCAACTGTGTCCATCAGCAGCCACAGCCTGCCAACCCCTCGGTTTCAGTGCGACATGACTGTTTGCTGGCTCGCACATCACATCTAATGCGGCTACCATGAGACCGCGGAACAAGCCAGGTGGAGGTAAAGAACCGGTATACCGGTTTCTTACTGCTGCCTGGCTTGTTCCGCAGCCTTATGGCAGCGGCACTGGGCAGGAGGCGGCAAACAGCTGGTTTCAGCGCGACATGGCTGTTTGCCTCCGGCTGTGGCCATTTGTAGCTTCGCACGTCACACCCAATGCTGCTGCCATGAGGCTGCAGAACAAGATGGGCAGAGGTAAAGAACCGGTATACCAGTTTCTTACTGCCACCCGGATTGTTTCAATTGGGCAGGAGCCGGCAAACAGCCAGTTTCGGCACAATGTGGCTGAAAGGCTGCAGATAGCTGGCTGGGGCTGGGCTGGGCTGGAACTGCAGTGGCAGCGGCAGTGCAGAGGCCAATTGCGGGCTCAGAGTGGGCGCAAGTGGGGCAGCCACAAAGGGCAGAGGTGCTGCCTGGGGCTGGAGCAGGGCAGCGGCATGGCAGCAGCAGAGCCGGGCGGGACTGCGGTGGCGGCGATGGCTGGGTCGCTTTGGCAAAAGCAGTAGTGGCGGTGGCAGTGGGAAGGAGGTGAGGAGCGGCACTCGTACTCTGCAAAGCCTCCCCTCTGCCTGCTTTGCGCATCTTCTCCCGGGGCCCCCATGCCCACTATTAACACTTCCTGCGCCGCTCGCTGAAGGTGTGGGGGGGGCGACGCGTGATAAGAGGAGGAGGAGGAGCACCCTTGGGGCTGCAGGTGTCCTGGTCTGGCATGGGAAGGGCACACACCCCACCACCAAGCAGGGTAAGATTGCTGCGCCCGCCCAGATGCCCTCACCTCCCCCTGCCTTTCAGCTGCATTCCATTTCTCTGTTTGCTTCTCAGCCTTTGCTGTGTATTTGTGGGACTATGGGTAAAAAAAAAGTTCCATCAGACTTTCTAACTTCTGGAGATCTCACAAGAAGTTAGAAAGTCTGATGGAACTTTTTTTTTTTTAACCGATAGTCCTACAAACACGCGGTGAAGGCTGAGAAACGAATGAAGAAACAGAATGCAGCTGAAAGGCAGGTTAATAAAAAAAACACTTGGGGGAGGTGGGCGCGGGCACGGCAACCTTACCCTGCATAAGTATTGATGCAGGTTGCTCATGGATGGGCCTGAAGGCCTAGGACTGGGGCGATGGTGCGCGTGCCCACAGAGAGGGCTCTGCATGCCACCTGTGGCATGTGTGCCATAGATTCACCACCACGGCTATATAGTGTGATCTAAAACCCTGAAACCAGGGGAAATTGAATTAAACAATTAGTGAATGGTTTCCTGATATAAGGATGGTATTGTCAACTATCAAACAGCTTGTGTGGAAAAAATCTACACACATGATTATTGTTATGCTCATTAACATCCCTCATGTAGCTAACTACTCTGTCTAAATATACAGAAATTAAATAGCATATTATAGTTAATAAACAGGTTCTCATGACAAAAACGTTATAGATTTATATTGTTTATTTCTTATGAAGAAATTTTTTTTTAATGCTACAGCATGCATTTCAGATGTACTTTGATCAAAAAGCACAGAAATATTTGTTGTATGTGTTAAATTTTAATCATTTCCCTCTCCCTCCACATTTCATATTTATAGTTTTATAGAACCCGCTCGTCTTCCCCTACTGAGTGTTGCCACATGACCCCATGGAGTAAAAAGGTATTGGAAGATAAATGAATAAAACCTCCTCATACAATCTGTCCCTTTCACTCCCTAATCTTTCTTTGCTGCTTTTTTGGCTGACTAACTTTGTTGTCTATTTCGTGCTCTTATCAACAAGAACATCAACTTTTTTTCATCCTCCATGCTAATATGGTGTTAGATTTTATTATATTTAATAGACCATGAGCAAGTTTCCTTTTGTCGATCAGTTTTAAATGCCTGAACTAAATTTGTATGTAGCTGGAAAAAAATAGATGGCAATGATGTTAAAGCCATAGCATGGACCTAGTCAAAGGACTGTTATCACTGCTATTGTTTGCTGAAGAGTAACCCTGGCAGACAGTCAGAGATTGTGGTCAGGTCACTTCACTTTCTTTGTCCAAAAGACATTGTTATGCAGGGAAAGTATTGGTCACAAAATGCAAGCTAATGCAGGCTATATGCTCCCTCTTTTTTTGCATGCACCAACTTTTTAGCTCAGAGGTTACCTAGGAAACAAAATCTTTTGTGCTTGTAGTTTATATGAACTATTCATGGCTGCTAGGAACAGCACAAAAGCTGAAAAGAAAATGGCAATGTTTTCCTAACCTAGAGATGGACAGAAATATCTTCCAAGAACACGGGTCCCTTTTACATTTTTGTGTATAATATTACAGGCATTTCTGACAAGGTAAGAAAGCAGCTTGATGTAACTTGGATAAACACTGTGAAGTGCAGCCTTCAGTTTAGACGTTGGGGGTTAAGAATGATTGTAAGTCTATTTTGTGCCTTCAGCAGGAATGTTAAGCAGGACATTTCTGACAAAAATAAACTAAAGTTAATTTGAATGTGGGTCTCGTTATAAAAAATAAAAATATTTAAATGCTTTAACAAACTTAAAGGGACAAGATTTAATCTTTGCATTTTTTAACTAAAAGAATGAAATGCTTCTGAATAAACAAAAGGACAAAATATCAAGAAGTCATCAGAACTGAAGCTAAAAACTGAATTTAGATAATATACAGACTTCAGGATGGTTTCTTCTAATCTATAGAGTATCATGATAGATTAAATGAAAAATATGCACTTTAAAAAATGGGAAAAGGTATATTTATCATTGAAAGAAACTGTCATTTTTTAGTTCTCTAGGTATTGTCTAGATTGTCCTAACTTTTTACTCTCACATAGTAAAACAACAAAGCATAACAGTCCTGCCTTCCTTTTTTCTTTCTTTCTTTCTTTCTTTTTTCTTTCTTTTTTCTTTCTTTCTTTCTTTCTTTCTTTCTTTCTTTCTTTCTTTCTTTCTTCCTTCCTTCCTTCCTTCCTTCCCTCCTTCCTTCCTTTTCTTTCTTTCTTTCTCTTTCTTTCTTTCTTTCTTTCTTTCTTTCTTTCTTTCTTTCAAATTCTACTTATAGTTGGTCTCTCTTAGTTCTTCTTTATCTTTTGTCCCTTGTTTAAATTATGTGTTCTGAATTACATCTGGCTGTTAGATATTCTAAAGGTCCTGGTTCAAACTTTACTTTTCAATTTTTCTTTTGATATCCAGTATTTATTATTAGATGGCTGTGTTCACATGATATACTTAATTTGGTGACCAAAGCCCCATTTTCTGATTTAACACTGAATTATGAACAGTAAATTAATCAAATGAATCAGGTTTGTATTCCACAGCAGCTACTAACAACAAAAATCAGATATTTTAAAATAACAAAATATGTATTTCTTTCAAAATATACAAAACATGAGATCAATTCATAAGGCTGTGCTAAAGTTCTACTGAAATCAATGCTGCAGGTTGTCAACCACATGTAAATTGTTCATTTCTAAGTCTACATGCAAACAACATGACATGATTACTTGTTAATGTATATTTTTAACAGAATGAATACATTCAAACTTACATACATCTGCAGAAATGGCATGGATCATACAGATAGCCCACATTTCTGCTAAGTATACATGATTTGAAATGTTTACTTTCAATTCTGTGTTAATTTTTAATTCCTAAATTAACTTTCCATGAGCTACTGCATTCCAGATGCATTGTATTACAATTTTCTTCTTCCCTAAATGAGACAACAATGATTGGGGGTGGGGGGGGGGGTAACAGAGATTCATACATCTTAAGGGCTGATAAGCCTAAGTGTTTTCAATAGATGAGATATTTCACTGTATCTGCTATGTAGCCATTGAAAGAAAGTTCTTACAAGTTCCAAGGTACTTTCTTCCTTTTTTTTTTTTTTTAACTTCCAAATCTTACTATTTTGTTGTTTGTGCATGGATGCTAGTTTTGATTGTATTTATTTACAGTCCCACCACCTTTCTGAGGAAGAAGATACAGATGTCATGTCAGGGCAGAGGCTGAAAAATCCAGTAAATAATATACCTTCTACACTGGATAAACAAACAAATTGGAGCAAAGCACTACCTCTCCCAACTCCAGAGGAGAAAATGAAACAGGATGCCCAAGTGATTTCCTCTTGTATTATCCCCATCAATGTCACTGGTACAAATCTTTTGTCCTTTTGTTGTGGTGGTTGATTTGAAGGTGTTTTAATAGCTTATTTTATTGCAGTAAATATTTCTCTAAATATAGGATTTTACAAATAGCAAATGTATTTATTTATAAATTTTATTGCCCCCCATCCCATCTTAGCATAGGGTAACTCTGGGCAGCTTACAGTCATAAGGTATCTATACATATACATTATACACATACATACACATAAAAACATAAATTAAAACCAAACATTAAAATTTAAGGACAAGTGGTAGGGACGGAATGGGGGGAGGTAGGATCTGTTGTTAATCAACCATCTCCATTGTGCTGTTCCCCCATTGGGGCCCCAAGCCATCTAGCAGAGCCACAACTTTAGGCCCTTACAAAAGGATAGGAGGGTATATGTAAGATTTCTGAAAAAAGTCTTTGATAACTTTGGTATCTATTAAGATGGGAATTAGCCCCATTACATTCAATGAGAAAAACTTCTCATTAAATTTCTATATTGTGATTATCCGTGGACATTGATGCTGATATAATTGTATTAGAAAGGCATAGTTAAATTCAGTATCCTTTTATACTACGTGATACTCATGTTTGTTATGTGCTGGAATAAAACAGTGCAACATTTCTGACCAACAGTGTATGTTATGAATCATAAGTGCTGCAGCAAATTAATAGCATTTTAATATTTGCTTCAATGCCTTCCATAATGCTCCAAGGCCAAGAGTGTAGGAATAATATTCTAATTGATGTGTACAATTTATTTTAAAAATCCCTTCACTTATCAGAATGCAGTATCTGCATATAATATATAGAAATCTTCTTTCTGTCTATTATACATGATACATAAAAAGAGAGAAAGAGACAGGAATTTGCAATACAATATGAAGTCAGAATGAAAATCCATGACTAGTAATATTTCTAAATTAGCTGTATTGGCTCATTGGTTCCTCACTTCATTCCATAGATTACACCAAAAATAAAGCTGACATGAAGAGTAGACTAATCTATTCATTTAGATCTCAAAAAGTTATCTGTACACAGTATTGCCTCTAAGAACTCATGAAAGTTTACACATCATTACACAATAAAATAATAATAATGTCACTACAAAGTAAGCAGAAATAAAAAATAACCACTATCAGAGTTAATACACTGCTTAATGTATACACTGATAAGAACTAGTGGCATAAAGATTCCTCAGTTGTCTGCCAAGAACAAAGAGCATACCAAAGCATACCAATGCTTTTTTAAAAAAGAGGTATTAGGTTTTTCAAGTGGTTATCACTAGTGGTTATCACTAGACCTATGAAAATAATTTGAAGAGCCACTTTGCTTCTCCTGGATGAACTACTCAAAGTATCAAAGCAACCTCTGGAAGCTCGATATATATCAATTTCAAGTATATCAAAGTCTTAACCAAGGTCTTTGTAAATGAAGGAGCTCCCTATTTATTGTTGTTATCACCATCACCCACTATAAATTGATTCCCTGTCTGCTTGATGCTGTGGGTAATAACAGATCCATCACTGAAGCCCATAAGGGATGTCCCAATTAAAACATCAACGTGGCAGATACATTTCTGGAATCATTATTCAGAAGAATAGGAGAGCGAATGAGAAGTGATTTATAGACATTCCACATACAGTGGATAGGGTGGTCCTTTAAATGAAGTTCCCAAGGTAACTTCACACTTCCATATATTTTAAGAAATCATGCTAAATAACCTTTGGCCAGTCCTGTCATACCCACTCAGTAAGAAAATGAACCACATCAAGAGCTATATGAATGACAGTCCCAGTGATGCAAAATGGCTACATGGGCAGCCAATCCAAATTTACAAAATTTACAAATTTATCAAGTGTGGCATTTTGGCTATACAATGCTACAGAAAGTACAGTAATAAATTCCTAAACCAACCAGAAGGAAATCTGCTTTGATGTATCTTATAGTATTTGTTCCATTGATCTAGAGACTGAAATCTTGGACTCACTATGACATTTCCTTCTGTAATCAGAAGATGGATCTGATAGACTCACTTATAAAGGAAGCAGAAAATAAAAAATAAAGTGCTATACATGTTAGTACAGGTTTTATACAGTTAGTAAAGTATATTATTATTTATAAGCCAAAATCAACATGGCTTATATTCAATATTAGGAATTAGGTTGAATAATTCTTATTACTGAAGGGAAACTACAGTACTTACAGAGAAACAGCAGGTTTTTTTGACCATGTCCAGAAAACATTTTGATCAGGGTAGTATATGCAGCAAAACCATATGTGGCTGCTTGAAGGCTCATGAAGTATGTTCCCATTGAATGCTTTGCCCATGATGAAAATGCCACATTGAATTATCTGCAATGCTTTTATGTATTCTCCTTCAGCCTACCCTTTGTAAATACACAATGCATTAAATGTTTTTCAGCTTCGGGTACATCTTTTTAATGTATCAGGTTTTAGTGGGAATACTTGTACAACTTAAACTATTATTATTAACCTACAGTCATAATTACTGTGTGTGTGTCAGTATAATAGTAAATTTATGAATTTTCTGTGCTTCTGGACTCCAAAACAGTGGCATTCTCAGTAAATCACAATGTTGTAAAATGATAATATGAAATGATGTGTGCAATGATATTGTAATGCAAGTCCCATCATTATGTATTTGTATCATAAGTCATGATACATGTGCACATTTTGTACTTCTCGCCTCCCAGTCCCCAACACATAATTCCTGGCAGGTTACAGTTAAAAGGAAAAATTGATAGCTAATTAAAAAACAGTTCAGAATAGACGAAATACAGTATTGCACAATGGCACCCAGTCTACCTAGTTAGTACCCTTGACAGATACTGAGAGTATACATTTTTGGATTAGAAACGGAGGGAGTTTTATTCTTTTTTAACCCTATTTTTCTTCATATACTGCTCTTTCAAATCACACCAGTTTTTTAGCGTTGAGAAAAGACTATGATGTATTTGTTTAGAAAATAGTATTGCCAAGTTTATGAACAAATGGAAGCAAGACTCTGTTCATATTATCAATGAGAGGAGAAGCATTCAGTTGAAAATGAACATCATGGGTTTTGCAGTCAGATAGTTCGATCTTCAGTTTCAACCATTTCCAGATCTAAAAATTAAGTGGCAAATAAATCCTGCCTGGAGCTGTAGTAAACTCTGCCAGTTGGAGGCAAAAAAATTGCTAATTGGTTGGCTCTTTTTCTGTACCAAGAAATCAGTGCCAAAAGATACAACTATGACATCAATCTGAATGATATTTTATATGGATTGACATATGGAAATCCAAAAACATTTGGATTTGTCATAGTATATTAACCTCCCTACAACATACCAGCAATGCATAGAATCTTTCTTTTTTTTCCTTTTTTTTTTTTTTTTTTTTTTAGTAATTTACAGCTGAAAATTTTTTGTTCATCTTCCTGAATCCTAATTTTCATTTTACATACCTCAGGGCCACTAGAACATAACAATCTTGAAAAACATTTTGGTAAATAGTCCTTACAAGGAGAGTAGCTAACTTCCTCTCATTTCTTTCACTTCCTTCTCTCTTTTGTGAATGGGATTAGCTGTAGTATGCAATATTTTTTTTTAGAATTGTAAAATCTGCCTTGTATTTATTTTCAGGCATAATCTGAAAAGTTTATTTGACCCAATGTGGTCTTTCAGTCAAAGCCATTGTTTATTGTTTCTAAAAGCTAATGTCAACTATTTATGGATTGTAGGAGTTGGTTTTGACCGAGAAGCTAGTATACGCTGCTCCCTTGTTCACTCCCAATCCGTACTGCAGCGAAGACGGAAACTGAGAAGGAGAAAAACCATCTCTGGCATCCCCAGAAGAGTCCAACAAGAAATAGGTGGAGTATAAATAAAATCTTTCCTAGAGAGCTGTAGTTCTGTCTTTTTTATATAATTTTTTTAGTTAACATATAAAAAATAAAATACAAAGAAAAATAGAAATAGGGGATTAAGGGAGGGAAAAGGAAAGGGGAAGAGAAGGTGTAAGATACAAGGGAAAAGAAAAAAAAGGTGTTGACTTCTGACTCTTTTTAGCACTCTAGCCTCAACTTTTTGTTTTTACACATTATTATATAGCTAGCAATTTCTATAACAGTAAATCCATCTAATTAACAAAACCAAATTCAAAAATATATTTTTTTATCACAAGTACAAAATCCAGAAATGGTATCCAAATGAAAAACATATTCAAGTATATTCTCCTCTTTAAATAGAATGATCAATTTAACCATTCCTGCTTTAACTTGCTGTGGAAATAGTATATGTTTCTATTTGCCCCTACTAATCTTTGTAAACTATCAGCATTTCTATTAACAAAGTTAATGATACTTTCTCAAATTCTTTGACCTTACTGGGAAAAGTACTTTTTTTTCCCAGCACCACCCCTTTTTTAAAAAAAGAAAAATGCTAAACTTTCTTTAAGTACTTTTCTAAAATCAAAACTTTCTAATACTTTTTTCCCTTTAGCTTCTTAACATACAGGCTTTGAATTTCATTATTGAATTTAGCTCCCACCCTCCAAACTATCCTTATAGAATAGTATTTTTTTCTTCCTTTTATAAACATCATTTTTAGAACACAAAGTTCTCTTTAAACTAGTACATCATTTTCTTTAGCTTTCTCTTAACCCAAGTAGTCTCAAATATATTTCAAAAACAGTTTACATACTTTAAAAATTACTTCAGCAATATATATATATATCCACCCTAGATCCAATTCTCTTAATTTGAATACTCTCAAATAGATTTTCAATAACATTTGCCTACTTTAAAAGTTACTTAAAAGTTATATATATATATATATATATGTGTGTGTGTGTGTGTGTGTGTGTGTGTGTGTGTGTGTGTATGTATGTATGTATATGTATATGTATATGTTTCTTATCTGTTGGGTGAGGCACCCGGTCTACCAAATATAAATCAGTCTGTTCTGCGTTTCGCTCCAATCTAGGAGCATGTTTTGCAGGCAGACCTCACATACTGTGAACACTATAAATTCAAAATTTGTGGCTGGCAAAGAGTTAGTGGGAGACTAGTGTAGCTATTGAGCCTGAAATAGCTATACTAGTCTCCCACTAACTCTTTATCAGCCACAAATTTTCAATGTTTTGGATGGAACCTTGTAGGGTAGGCAAGGCAGGTTGTATAACGTGTGTGAGTTCTGGCACCTTTTTTTTTTTTTTACAAAAAAGCACTGTGCGTGTGTGTGTGTTTGTGTGTGTGTGTGTGTGTGTGTGTGTGTGTGTGTGTGTAATAGAAATAAAATAGTCCGAGCACCAGGATAATATTAAAACAAAAACTGTTTAATACAAAAGCTAAAGCTAAGCTTTTGTCGGCCAACACTGTCAACATCATCAGAGCACAAGCATTAGCATGATGTCGGCAGTGTTGGCTGACGAAAGCTTAGATTTAGCTTTTGTATTAAACAGTTTTTGTTTTAATATTATCTTGGTGCTCAGACTATTTTATTTCTATTATATGGATTTACCCAGGATTCGCATTTTTAGTATAATTAGGGATTATACTATATATACAGTGGGGCAAAAAAGTATTTAGTCAGCCACCAATTGTGCAAGTTCTCCCACTTAAAAAGATGAGAGAGGCCTGTAATTGTCATCATAGGTAGACCTCAACTATGAGAGACAAAATGAGAAAACAAATCCAGACAATCACATTTTCTGATTTGGAAAGAATTTATTTGCAAATTATGGTGGAAAATAAATATTTGGTCAATATCAAAAGTTCATCTCAATACTTTGTTATATATCCTTTGTTGGCAATGACAGAGGTCAAACGTTTTCTGTAAGTCTTCACAAGATTGGCACACACTGTTGCTGGTATGTTGGCCCATTCCTCCATGTAGATCTCCTCTAGAGCAGTGATGTTTTGGGGCTGTCGCTGCGCAACACGGACTTTCAACTCCCTCCAAAGGTTTTCTATGGGGTTGAGATCTGGAGACTGGCTAGGCCACTCCAGGACCTTGAAATGCTTCTTATGAAGCCACTCCTTCATTGCCCGGGCGGTGTGTTTGGGATCATTGTCATGCTGAAAGACCCAGCCACATTTCATCTTCAATGCCCTTGCTGATGGAAGGAGGTTTGCACTCAAAATCTCATGATACATGGCCCCATTCATTCTTTCCTGTACACGGATCAGTCGTCCTGGTCCCTTTGCAGAGAAACAGCCCCAAAGCATGATGTTGCCAGCCCCATGCTTCACAGTAGGTATGATGTTCTTTGGATGCAACTCAGCATTCTCTCTCCTCCAAACATGACAAGTTGTATTTCTACCAAACAGTTCTACTTTGGTTTCATCTGACCATAGGACATTCTCCCAATCCTCTTCTGGATCATCCAAATGCTCTCTAGCAAACTTCAGACGGGTCCGGACATGTACTGGCTTAAGCAGGGGGACACGTCTGGCACTGCATGATCTGAGTCCCTGGTGGCGTAGTGTGTTACTGATGGTTGCCTTTGTTACGTTGGTCCCAGCTCTCTGCAGGTCATTCACTAGGTCCTTCCATGTGGTTCTGGGATTTTTACTCACCGCTCTTGTGATCATGTTGACCCCACGGGGTGAGATCTTGTGTGGAGCCCTAGATCAAGGAAGATTATCAGTGGTCTTGTATGTCTTCCATTTTCTAATTATTGCTCCCACAATTGATTTCCTCACACCAAGCTGCTTGACTATTGCAGATTCAGTCTTCTCAGCCTGGTGCAGGTCTACAATTTTGTTTCTGGTGTCCTTTGACAGCTCTTTGGTCTTCACCATAGTGGAGTTTGGAGTGTGACTGTTTGAGGTTGTGGACAGGTGTCTTTTATACTGATAACAAGTTCAAATAGGTGCCATTAATACAGGTAATGAGTGGAGGACAGAGGAGCCTCTTAATGAAGAAGTTACAGGTCTGTGAAAGCCAGAAATCTTGCTTGTTTGTAGGTGACCAAATACTTATTTTCCACCATAATTTGCAAATAAATTCTTTCCAAATCAGACAATGTGATTGTCTGCATTTGTTTTCTCATTTTGTCTCTCATAGTTGAGGTCTACCTATGATGACAATTACAGGCCTCTCTCATCTTTTTAAGTGGGAGAACTTGCACAATTGGTGGCTGACTAAATACTTTTTTGCCCCACTGTACATATATATATTTAAAAGATTACATTTTCAAATTTTGAATTGAACTTTTCTTTCAATTTCTCATTTGTACAAAAAAAAATCCATCCTGGTTCCAGTTGTCTCATTAAATTTAGGTCGCTCCTTCCTGCTTATCTTCATAGAATAAAATCTTTTTCTTGTCTCAAAGTTTTACCTGGGAATTTCTTTTTATCATAGAATCCTTAGTCTTGTTAATGTCCTTAAAGAGAAAGTCCCAAATTTGTCTTTTTTCTCGGCGTTCTTCTTTCAGTTGTGTTGCGAGCTTTATATTTATACCATAATCCTCAGCCTTGTTAATGTCCTTAAAGAGAAATCCCAAATTTGTCTTTTTTCTTGGTGCTCCTCTTTCACTTGTGTTGCGAGTTTTATACACCATAATAGTAAAAGTTAGTATCAGGTTCTTCCAAAACTGTAATGCTCTGCTCTGCATTTTCTGCCTTTTCAACTACTTGTGAAGTTACAGCTATTTGTGAAATTGTCTTGGTAGTATCATAGCATGCTCCACATGTTTGCATCTCAGTAATTTGAGAGGATTTTTTTTATCATACTTAGAGCACAGCTGGTCAACAAATTGGCAAATTTTGTTTAAAGACCTTTCAAGAATATCTCTAATACTCTGTTCATCCATCTTGGCTTCCACTTTTAGTCAGGGTCAGAAAATTTTTGCCACCCACAGCAGAGAAAACCAAGATACAAGTTAGTACAATATTAAACTAAAATCATAGCCATCATTCTTTATATGTCTCCATCAGCTTTTTTTTCTTTTTTCATCACACACTTCCTTTTTTAAAAAAATATGTTTTATTGATTTTTAACGTAATGACCTTAATATTTGGTAAACAGCTTGCTGTCTGGGTTAGTATTTAAAAAACAATCAACAACAATTAATTTCTATAATTCTATAGTCCATGTAATGGCTTTGCTTGATTTTCTCTTCTTCCAATAATATTGTCTTTTGCCAACCTTAAATTTCTTATTATTTGAATAAGAGACAATTAAATTAGACATTTTCAGAAAATAATAACCACATCAATATAAAGCTTCTTTTCTAATTGATCATCTTGATTGTCTCGTCATAGATCCTGTTTACAAAATTCTTATTTAAATTTATTTTCCCCACAATATTCAAAGCATTCTTACTGGTTAAGATTTTCTCAAAATTAGTTATATTTAAGTGTTTTTTTTTCATACAAGCCATCTCAACACTTTTACATTTCTCGTATCTTAAAAAAGAAAGAAAGAAAAAAACAAAGAAGACATTTCTTTTATATAAACCATCCCAACATTTTTATATTTCTCATGTCAAAAAACAAAGCAGAAAGAAAAAAAGAAAGAAAGAATACTATATTACTTGTAGGGTTCATCCCTCTTAAACTAATCTTCATTTATATCCAAAATCTTTTTATTTCTTTAACCATATTCAAACAGATATTTATAATTTTTAAATATTCCCTCTGGCAAATCCTATCATCTAATTTCTTAATTCTCACTTTAGCCTTTTTTTTTTTTTTTGCCAAAAATCTTTCCTGATCAATATGCTTTGCTGAATCAAAGAATCCTCCCATTATCTTGTAAGTGTTGTTGCAGGTACAAAAGACAAAACAGATAAGCTGTTTTTATAGGAAGGTTTCGCCCCTTCATATTCATCTTTTCCTTTCTTTCTTTCTTTCTTTCTTTCTTTCTTTCTTTCTTTCTTTCTTTCTTTCTTGATTTTATTTATCATTTTTTGTCTCTCAAGTTCTCGGAGTTCTCCTGGTAGAATCCATTTTGTCAATCTTGTTTCTTGTCCTCAAACTTATTTTGTAATCTTAGAGTATAAGTTATCTTTTCCATGTCCAATATTTCCTGTAAGTTTTTTTCCATCTGGGTTAAGTCATACTTCCTTTTATTGTTAAGATCCATCTTAAAATCTCTCTTTTGTCTCATATTCAATTGTCTGTTTTTTCTGCTCACTCTCTATTTTTATTTTTGGAGAATTTTTGTGTTGTAAAGTTATATTGGAGATTTGTTCATTTATATTTTCAAAGTTATTTTTAATTTCCTCGTGGTTTGAGATCATTGTTGTTTGGATTTGTTGCAACATAGCATAGATCTCCTTCTGGAAAGTATTTGTTTTTTCTTGATATATTCTTTCTGCAGATTTCTGGTTTTCCATGATAGCCAAAAGTCAGGGTTTTCCTTTCTCTGCAGATAGCTTTAGAGTAACAATTGAGTTGGTATGTATAATCCAGAAAGGTCAATTTTTTTTCTAAAGTTTATAAATCTCACTTTATGAATAGCCTAAAATGTTGTTCTTTTTTTGTCGCAGCTATTCTCTGTTGTATAAACATTGAAGGTCACCAAAAGCAAGTTATCTTTTCCTGGGTTTTACCAGCTCCTGTAATAGAGCAAATGCTATTGGTGTCAGCACCAGTTCATTTTTCAGTAATAGACAATTATTTACTTCTATTATTTACTTCTATTTTCATGGTTGAAAAGGACAATCTTAACAGTTTCCACCAGTTTCAAACTTATCCAAATTAGGTCTTATATTCATTTCATTTCAGTATATTTCTGTTCCCCCTGAAAAGTTCAATTCATTGCTTCTATCTGTAGGAGGGTGGGGCAAAGATCCTCCGCCTTTCTCACTTTTGGAGGCTTTTTCTTTTTTTCTTTTTCCAGGAAATCAATTTTCAAATAGAAGAGAGAAAATCACTATTCTTACCCAGTTCCAAACACATTGTTTACAATCACCTTAAAGTAGTGCTTTTGGGCTTCGGCTGCTTGTAACTTAGGTTAGACCAGTGGTGGCGAACCTATGGCACACATGCCAGAGGTGGCACTCAGAGCCCTCTCTGTGGGCACATGCACTGTCGCCCCAGTCCTAGGCCTTTAGCTGGGTTTTATAAAACCTTTTCGCTTTAGGCCTCCGACGCTGTGTACAAAAAAAAAAGGTTCAATCAGTCAATTTCAACTTCTCGCGGGAAAAAAAAAGATCTTGCAAAGTTGGACTTGATTGATTGAACTTTTTAGTCCCACCCAGTCTGCTGTTACCATCACAGTCACACCCACCCAGTGGGCCACACCCACCTGGCACTCGACGATGCATGTGGGTTTTTCATTGCAGTTTGGGCACTCAGTCTCTAAAAGGTTTGCCATCACTCGGTTAGACTTTGAAGTTAAGCTAGCCTTTCTCCTGCTGGTTTCTGGAGGGTTTTTCCCAAACCGATCGGTTCGACCACCATCTCTCCGCAATCAGTGGGACTTCCTTCCTTCCTTGTTGCCTCTATGGGCAACTTCAAGCCCATTTAGGGTCCTCTAGCAGGCAGAAATCGGCCGTAGGGTGTGGAGCCGCACAACCCCTTGCTGCTAAGCTACTGCGCAAAACCAGAAGCCTCACTTCCTTATTTGGCTTCTTTTAACAGCCTTAACAGCCCTTTATTATTTAAGACAAAGAGAAGTCCCTAAAATGGCATGAGTCTTCAAAAAGACACAGCAGACTGTAACTAAAAAGAGCCTCTTTTTGAATATTTGTATGATCACCATGCTTAGATGAAATTCCGGTCGAGTCTTATAAAAAATATGAGTGTTACTACAATGAATAATATTGGATTCCTAGTAAGTAGTAGAATATGAAAGAAGGAAAATGTAAATAAGAAACAATGGGGCAATAAGGACAAATATTTCAAAGAAGAAAGAGGGGGGAAATGTAAAGAATAGAAGAGTACTGTTACAAACTGTTGTTAACAAAAAAGGATATATCATGTGTGTATGTGTGTAATGTTTGTTGTGTTTTGTTTTGTTTTGTTTTGTTGGTCTAAAATAATAATAATAAAGAAGAAAAAATAAATAAAAAAGAGCCTCTTTTTAACTTGGCTTGAAAAAAATAATAGTCTTTGAAGGTGATTAAGAAGGGAAAGGCACAACTTACTGTCCATTTGAAAGTTGGATTTCAAACATCAGCTTCTTCAAACTCTTCAAGCTAGGTTACAACCCCTCCCCCCAGCTTTTGGCATACAGACTGCTTCCATCTGCCGGCTTGCAGCTGTTTTGGAGGGTTCTGAGGGAAAGTTCTTTGACCCACCCTGACCGGGTGGGTCTTAAAAACTGAATACCAGTCCCTTCAGTCAAAAGGTTGAAGAGCTGCACTCCAGGAAGAAATCATTCAGAGATCTCTCCCCAGGCATGTCACCAGTTGGCCGTCTTGCCGGAAGTGAACTGTAGTACTGTCTTAATGCAATTCTGGCTTGCTTTCTCAACAGTTTTCCAAACTCTTGATTGTGGTTTCAAGTATGATGCATTTGGTATGTTTTATTGTGGGTGTCACTTAGTACAGATATATCTCTAGCTTATATGGTCTAAATACAATCTTACCCGATTACTGTTGAATTGTGTTCTTTTAGTTTGCTCAAAACTAAGTAGCTTAAATTATTTTTCCTTGTAAAAACCTAACAAATGTTTCCTTGTAATGAATGTGCTGGTAAATTGTCACAGACTAATTTATTTAGAAGATCTATTGCTGTGATGGTATATGGGAAAAGATTTAGGAGACTGGGCCAAAAGACACTGTCAAGGGACGGGTAACATACGAGAGAGCAGAGGCCACAACTGGAAAGAGGACAGAGCAAAAGGGTCAGAGGAGACTCCCTTGATTGTAAAGGAGACTTGAGGAGAGGGAGAGATGTACTTTCAGACTTCGAAGATTCTGCCAAAGTAGCTTTACAACAAAGTAGAATTAGCTCTTCTGTTTCTGATTCCTACTTGGATTACGCTACAAGGCTGACAGTTCTGGACAGTTGTACACATATTATCTGTTCTGAAAAGTTGATCAACTAGTCCCCACTCCCCATTTTATGTATTATTTTTGTCTCTTAATTGCTAAATATTAAGTTCATTGAATCAAATGAGCTCACTTAGTTTTTTTTCTTACACTGAACTATCACAGTAGTAACTAGATTAAAGTCACTTAAGCTTGTTTTGTTAAAGAATCAATATTCTTCTATTATGACAACAATTGAAAGATCGGGCTGGCATAAAACCAGACAGCTCCTTAATTTCAGTTGCACATGATTTGATTATTCCTTTGCAAGTGTGCGTTTTAAGTCTGCAAAGAAAACACCACTTTGGGAGGACTGCAGTAAGAGATTAAGTATTCCTCTGTTCAGATTAGTTTTCCTGTTTAATAAGGATCATCCCTGATAGTGTTAAGTACTGCTATGTGAGCCATCTAGTATGAAGATAACAACTATTTTTATTTTAATTCTACTTTGTGAAAAATGGCATTAGCAAAACTAAAACCTACCTTGTGAAGTTTTTAGGCCAATGTCAGTGTCATAATTTGTTAGCCAATTGAAAGCTGTGATGACTCACAACATTTTATCTATATCCTAGATTCTGATGAATCACCAGTAGCAAGAGAACGGAATGTCATTGTGCATGCAAATCCAGACTTCTCTAATAACATCAACAGGAGATCAGCTACCCGGGACTCTGAGTGCCAAACAGAAGATATTCTCATTGCTGCCCCATCCCGCAGAAGAATACGAGCTCAGAGGGGTCAAAGCGCAGTAGCTTCACTGTCTCATTCAGCTGGCAACATATTGGTGCTGACAGATAATGGTGACTCTATGTTTACATTAATGAGCAATCGTGTTCGATCCAGGAGTCTTCCTCGTGAAGGTGCTAGAGCCAATGAAAAAGACCACAACAATGGTGCCAAAATTTCAGCATATGAGGCAGAACACTTTTTAACAAATCAAGAACGAATTTCCACAAAGAGTAAGGATGCCATTAATAACCATTGTTCACAGGAACACCATCCCAGGGGCTTAGCTTGTTCCCAGCATTTTCATAGTCCAGATCATAATTCAAATGAAAGAGGGAGGTCAAGGTTATCAAGGATGGTAGATTCTGGAAGTTGTGATATTTCTTCAAACTCTGATACCTTTGGAAGTCCAATTCACTCTATTTCCACAGCTGGGGTTCTTCTCAGCAGTCACATGGACCAGAAAGATGATCATCAATCATCTAGTGGAAACTGGAGTGGAAGTAGCTCAACATGTCCTTCCCAAACATCTGAAACAATTCCTCCTGCTGCTTCACCTCCCCTGACAGGTTCTTCACACTGCGATTCAGAATTATCACTGAACATTGCCCCTAATGCTAATGAAGATTCAAGTATTTTCATAACTGAACACTATGGTGAACATAAAATTAGAGGTCACAGGACAAGTTCTTTCACTTCTGATCTGCTAGATGATCCTAATAACAGCAACACAAGTGATAGTGAGTGGAATTATTTGCATCATCATCATGATGCATCCTGCCATCAAGATTTCAGCCCTGAACATCCCAAGACTGATAGCCTGGGCTGCCCAAGTTTTGCAAGCATGGCCACTTATGACAGTTTTGTAGAAAGGACTCCATTGGACAAAGCAGAGACTAGCTCACATTTTTCAGTTGATACTGAAGGCTACTATACCTCCATGCACTTCGACTGTGGACTCAAAGGAAATAAAAGTTATATTTGTAACTATGCAGCTGTGGGCTTAGAAAATGGTCAGAATGCAAGTTTTGCTTCCAATCTCACTCACTGTAATTGGCAAGATTATATGGATCATAGGAAGCAAGGAAAAGCAAGCATCTCTCTAAAGAAACCAAAGATGAAGCCAGCCCCACCAAAACGCAGCTCATCTTTAAGGAAATTTGACAGTAGAACTGATATTTCAGAGAAGAAAGAACCAAAGATAACTAGTGGGCAACAACATATGCCTCATACTTCCAGGGAAATGAAGCTGCCCCTCGAGTTTGCAAACACACCTTCAAGGGTAGAAAGTACTAGCCTGCCAAGTAAACTGAAACAGTCCTGGGATAATCAGGATGAGAATGACATAAAGGGCCTTCCATTTGATTCCATGGATATTGCATCATTTAAAGATGAAGATGCTGAACAATCTCACTATGCAGATCTCTGGCTTCTAAATGACTTGAAATCTAATGATCCCTATAGATCATTGTCTAACTCAAGCACTGCTACGGGTACAACGGTCATAGAATGCATAAAGTCACCAGAAAGTTCTGAATCTCAAACATCACAGTCTGGCTCAAGAGCCACCACTCCTTCTCTTCCCTCTGTTGAGAATGAGTTTAAGTTGTCATCCCCAGAAAAACTGGCTGGTTTAGCGTCTCCTTCGAGTGGTTATTCCAGTCAGTCAGAAACTCCAACATCATCATTTCCAACAGCATTTTTTTCTGGTCCCCTATCCCCTGGAGGGAGTAAAAGAAAGCCAAAAGTACCAGAAAGGAAATCCTCATTACAACAATCTTCTAAAGATGGCAACATATTTTTAAACAAAGACTTAGAACTTCCAGTTATACCTCCTACTCATCTTGACCTAAGTGCTCTTCATAATGTTTTGATTAAACCATATGCTCATAGACCCCAGCTGCATGCTTTTAATAATAATAAATCAAATATGGTAGAAGAAGCACTGAATTCTAATTCTTCACCAGCTGTTGCTATTACACCTTCAGTGCTAAAGTCAGTACATCTTCGATCAATTAATAAGCCTGAAGAAAGGAAACAGAAAGAGAATCCAGATTTTCTACCCATTCAAGAATATAGTTTGGTAACTGCTATTTCTTCATGCAAAATGGAACCACGTGTAAGTAAGAAACAAGTGTCACATCAGTTCTTCATGGAAGATGCCATAGTGTCCTATATCAATCCCTCCCCAGTACAGATAAGCCCAGAACAACTACTAGGAGAAGATAGTTTAACTTTTAGTGGAAGAAATACTTGTCAAGAGAATCAAACTTCATTAGTAGAGAGTGTTTTAGCAGCTAAGAGTGTACCAGATCAAATACAATCAGTACATGGGATTTTGCTAGAGTGTACAACTAATAAAGCTTGCGGGGTTTCTGATGAACAATTTCCACAAGGCACAACAGTTTTTCCAAGCAACCTTGAAGGCAAAATTTCTTGTGGATCAGAACAGAATAAGAGTTTTGACTCCGTGCAGTCTCTGTATGAATTACCTGCACACTGTGAACAAAAGTTGAAATATGAACCACTATGTGAAGATATTCCTTGGTCTGACTCCTTAACTTGGGGAGCAGATACTTGTTATCAGCTGAAGCATCAGCTTGATATAAACCAACTTGATGACAAAGTGCCTGAGAATATCAGTTATGAATCAGAGATCTCAAATATATATTCACTCAGTGAAAAATGCTCTGAAAATGATATCATGTCAGGTATTCCAACCAAAAGTGCCTCAGATGACAGTGATAGCAGAGCAGCTGAGACACAAGGAACTACAGAAGATGATACCTTAAAAGGTTAGTTCTTAATTATTCCTATACTGCTAATGATAACACTTAATGCTAGAAATAATGCTGCTACTTGATTGTATTAATGGATAATTTCCAGAATTCCATTAATTTCAGTGAAACCCTAACATATTGCACTGATAAATGTATAATTCTTTGAAGAAATATACAGCTAGTCCTTGACCTATGATCAAAATTACCACAGGACTGAACAAATAGTTAGCCATCCCAACATCCCCATGGTCTCATGATCACGATATAGGTGCTTGGTGAGTGAGTCACACTCACCAGCAGTGATTCACACTCACCACCAGTTTTGCAATACCTTGTGATCATGTGATTGCAATTTTCAACCTTCCTTGCTGGCTTCTACACAAAGTCCCCTAGACTCTTTGTGTTTGCACTGTGCTAGCCACTCATGCACCCTCCCTAACCTGTACTAACTCTCTCACATATCCTCGTGTACTCTGTTCAATTTAAACTATGCCTCTCTCACACTCCCTCGCACCTTTGTGCACCCTCAAATACGTGTTGCACTTCTCATGTACCCTCATGCTTTTCTAGACTCCCCTTGTTCTCTTCTTCACCAAGCAGCAGCCACTTACCTGCCTGCCAACATGAGACTTACAATTTTCTGCCATCTTTCCCACTGACTTTGTCTGTGGGAAACCAGCAGGATGTTATCTTGCCTAACAACTGAGGGATTTGGCTAACAATGGCAACTGGGACTGTGAGGACTGCTGTTGCTAAGCTATGCAGTTATACTTTATGATTGCATTGGTTAGTGATGGAAAATTCCACTTCTAAGTATTGTCATAAGCCAAGGACTATGTAAGGTCTGTGACTAGCTGGGATATACAATTTCTCTCCTACCCAGGGTAGCCCTTCCTGTATCGAGCAAACATTCTTGAGGTTAGAATAGAATAGAGCTGGAAGGGACCTTGGAGGTCTTTAATCCAGCCCCCTGCTCGAGCAGGAGAACCTATACCATTTCAGACAAGTGACTGTCTAGTCTCTTCTTTAGAATTTCCAGTGATGGAGCGCCCATGATTTCTGAAGGCAAGCTATTCCACTGGTTAATTGTCTTCACTGTTAGGAAATTTCTCCTTAATTCCAGATTGCTTCTCTCTTTGGTCAGTTTCCAACCGTTGTTTCTTGTCTTGCCTTCTGGTGCTTTGGAGAATAGTTTGATACCTTCTTTGTGGCAGCCCCTCAAATACTGAAATACTGCTATCATGTTGCCCCTGTTTCTTCTTTTCTTTAGACTACCCAAACCCAAACCTGCAGCCATTCTTCATATGTTTTAGTCTCTAGACTTTGATCATTTTAGTTGCTCTTCTCGGAACTTTTTCCAAGGTCTCAACATCTTTTTTGTAGTATGGTGACCACAATTGGTTGCAGTATTCCAGGTGCGGTCTTACTAGGGTTTATAAAGCAATACTAATACTTCTCATGATCTTGATTCTATGCCTCTGTTTATACAACCCAGGATTGTATTAGTTTTTTGGGCTGCTGCTGCACACTGCTGGCTCATAGTCAAGTGATTGTCCACTAGGACTCTAAGGTTCCTCTCACAGTTACTGTTTTTGAGCCAGGTTTTGCTTAATCTGTACTTAAAACTTTGATTTTTACTGCCTAAATGTAAAACCTTGCTTTTCTCCATGTTAAAACTCATTTTGTTGGATAGGGTCCATTGTTCAAGTTTGTGAAAATCTTTTTGGATTCTGAGCTTGTCTTCAGAGGTGTTGGCTATTCCTGCCAGTTTAGCATCATCTGCAATTTTTTAAAATAAGTGTTTTATTCATTTTCTAGTATTACAAATCGTAAGTGCTTATTAAACAACATGATGTCTGGGTACATTTGTTACTCAATGTTGCATCATAACTTCTTCACTATAAATCTGTTCAATGCTATACAATCCAGTGTTTTTTTCCCCGATCCTCTCTTCTTCCATAGTGTTTTCATTTTCCCAACATTGAACAAATACAATTCTTACTACTATTATTACATACAAATTAGATATACACATCCTCTTCATATTTTTCTACTGTTATACAAATAACAATAGTATCAATTTATAATAGCTTTTCTAAACACTTTATATTTAAATTGTATTTGCAATTAAAGTCTCCTTATTAAACCAGTGTCCTGTTTTTCAAGCTCTTATTTAAGTTTAATTTCCCATCAATATTCAAAATATCTTTGTCAGTTATGATTTTCTCAAAATTAGTTACATTTGTGTAGCCAGAAATTTCATTTATACAAGTCACCCTAGTGTTTTTATAATTCCCATATCAAAAGAAAAGGTACTATTCTAATTATAAATCATATCTTTCTTATTATAAAAATTTATTTATATCTATGGGTTATCTATTCTTCTGACTATATTCAAAAAATATTGGATCATATAATACCCCATCTGGTATGTCAGTTCTTCTGTTTTTTTGAGTCTAACTCTAGCTTTCTTCCTTTGCCAATTGGCTTTCCAGGCCAAAGTAATTAAATCACCAAAAAATTCTTCCTCTGTTTTTGTGAATATTGCTTGGGATGGGAAAAACAATTTAAGTAGGGTATTTTTGAGAGGGAGTTCTGCCCAGTTGAAATCATTAAGCAACTTGCACTTTCCTTCTCCCTCAGCTTCTCTTTTCATTTTTTGTCTCCCAATTTCTGGCCTTTTCCCTAACAGCTTTATAATCCGTTTTTTAAAATCTTCTTCCTTATCTTCAGGTATATTTTGAAAACCTAAAGAATAGGGTGCCTTTTCCATTTCCCTTGTTGTAACTAAGTCTTGCAGATTTTTATTTGTCTGTGCCAATTTATGTTTCCTTTCTTTTATATCTTGTGTCTTTGGATTAATTTCCTCTGATTTGTCTTCTGTTTTCTGACTTCTTTGTAGTCATTTTCTGGGAACTTTCTAGTTGTAAGTTTAAGTTAGAGATTTGCTTATTTATATTATCAAAATTGTTTTTAATTTCATCATGGTTTCTTCTTGCATCTTCTTTATGTCAAAAAATTGTCTCCTGAATTAATTGTAACATAGAATGTATTTCCTTCTGGAAAATATTTACTTCTTCTTGAAGCATCATTCCTGCAGATCCCTGGTAAACCTGGCTGGGAGCTTCAGTTGAGAGTATTAAGTATATTTTCCTACCACTTTTGGCTAGATATAAAGGATCCATTTTATTTCCCCCCCCCTCCAGATATTCTGTCAGAACTGTTGTGATCCCCAAATACTACTCTTGTCTAATACCACCAATCTTAATGTCCATAGAACAAAGTGTCATCTAGTTCTTCTAGTCTTTATATGTAGCCTTTATAATCCAATAGGTTCCAGGATATAAGTCCACCACTGAAAGCAATATTTTGTAATACTCCTTCTGCTCAGGTATCCAGAAAATGTCAATCAGCTGAAGTTTACAATCCAAAATGTTCAAAATGTGCAACCACCCTAAGAACAGTCCAAAAATCTTCCCCAGACAAACATAGCCAAAGTCAAATGTTTCTTTCTCTCCAAATAGTTCTTAATATTAATAGTCAGAGCTCAGTATATGTTTATAATCCAAGAAGTCCAACAGGTTTCAAAACAATTAAGTTCTCACACTGTAGTAAGTATGCTAAAATATTTTTCTCTATTGCCAGCTGTTCTCCGTTGAGCTAAAAGTCACCAAACAACAAAGAAGCTAGGTTGCTATCTATTTCTAGGCTTCTTGCCAGGTCTGTATCAGTCATTGCAGCTGTAGTGCTATACTCTAATCTGCCACTAGATGTCATTCAATATCTATTTTCCGACTCTTAAAACAGAAGGTTGATTTCTTGTATTTCACCCCAGTATTCTTTCAAAGAGAAAATTTTAACAATTTTCTCAGTTCTCAAATTTGTCAAAACTATAGCTTTACATTACTTCCACTTCAGTGATAAATATTTCTTTTCCCCATAAAAAAATTAAAATGCTGCTTCCGTTCCCCTGGAAGAGTGGGGATACAATCCCGTTCCTTCTTGCGTTTGGAGGGTTTTAGCTTCTTGGGCGCCTTTTCCAGGAAATCCAGTTGTAAAATAGTAAAGAAAGGATAAATATTCTCACCCAGTTCCAAACACGCTGTTTATGATCTGCTAATTAGTGCTTTTTTCCTTCAGTTGTCAGTAGCCGGAGGCTGGCCACAGGAATCCAGCCAGTCTTCCCCCTGCTGGTTCTGAGGGATTTCTTCAGATCAAACAGATTGACCACTGTCTCTCTGTAATCGACAGGGCATCCCTCCTTCTTCATTGCCTCTCCAGGGTGATTTTAGGCCCTTTTAGGGGGCCCAGCAGCCAAAGTCGGGCATGGAAAGGAGAGTCCTGCCTTGCTGCATCCGTGTCACTACGACGCCAAACTGGAAGTTGTGTCATCTGCAAATTTGATGAGTTCCCCTTCTATCTGTTTTTGACAAACCTGTGCTGGCTACTGGTTATAACTTTGCTTCTAGTTGTTCGCAGATCTGTTTTTTGATTATCTTTTCCAGAATCTTCCCAGGTCTTGATGTTAGACTGATTGGTCTGTAGTTTCCTGGGTTTTTTTTTTCTTTCTTGAAGATGGGAACCACATCAGCCTTTTCCCAATCATCAGGTACTTCCCCAGTGCTACAGGATTTTTAAAAGATATGGTGCAATGATTCTGAGATAACATCTGCCAGCTCCTTCAGAATTCTGGGGTGTAATCTGTCGGGCCCCAGTGATTTATATTCATCAAGGTCAGATAGGTGTTCTCTTACCATTTTCTTGCTTATTTTTTGTTTCTAGTTTGTCTTTTGCAGTAGGGTTTTTTTTTGTATGTTGGACTATAATTTCTTTTGTGGGAAGATTGATGCAAAGAATGAGTTAAACAGCTCTGCTTTATCCCTGCTGCCTGTTATTTCCTTGCCATCTTCTCTCTTTAGTGAACTTACAGTTTCCTTGACTTTTTTCTTGTTATTAATATGTTGAAAGAAACTTTTTTTTATTGTCTTTGATTTCTCTTGCAAGTCTTCGTTCATTCTGAGCCTTTGCTTTCCTGACTTCATCTTTGCATGTTCTGGCTGTCTGCTGATAATCAGCCTTAGTTATGTGTCCCTCTTTCCATTTTTTTGTACTTGTCCTTTTTGTCTTTCAGTTTGTCAGAGAGATCTTTGTGCAGCCATGCTGGTTTCTTCTTGAATTTCTTGTTTTTCTTTTTCAGTGGTATTGTGTTGGACTGGGCTTTTATGATCATATTTTTCAGAGTTTCCCATGCTTCTTGAGTTGTTTTCCCCTTTAGGATTTTCATCCATGGAATCTTTCCTAGGTTCTCTCTGAGTTTGTTAAAATCAGCTTTTTTGAAGTTTAACACTCTGTTTGGATTGTTTTTTATTGTTTGTGTTTACATTATATTTAATTTCAGCATGATGTGGTCACTTTCACCCAAGCTTCCGGCAACTTCAACTTTCTCTATCACTTCTTCTTGATTAGTAAGGATTAGGTCCAGTGTAACTTTACTTCTAGTTCCCTCCTTTACTGTTTGGATGATAAAGCTGTCGATTAGGTTGGTTAAGAATCTGTTAGATCTCCCACTTGCTCCAGAGTTTGTCTCCGAGTTGATGTCTGGATATTTGAAGTCTACCATTACTACTGTGCAATGCTTCCTACATACGTTTGTTAACTGGTTGGCAAAGAGTTCATCTATTTCTTCTGATTGGTTGGGTGGCCTGTAATATAGAATATGGCAATGTCACTTTTCCCCCTTTTATATTGACTCAGGCTAGCCCTTCCTGCATCAAGCAAATATTCTTGTGGTTGAGGAACCACTCATCCTTCTCTAGGGATTGTTTGAAGGCTAGGGTAGTGGGTTATCTAGGGGCAACTCCCTCTTTGCTTGTGCTCTCATGGTTACTCGAGCTGCTAGTTGCTGTGCTGGGAGCAAAGATTTAATCACTTCCAATTTTATGCTGTTGTATTGTGATAGCCTTGACAGGGCATCAGCTAGGACATTCCCCCCCCCCAGTAAGTAATAAAGGGTGAAGTTAAAATGTTGAAAATGTTGAGCCCACCAGATTTGCTTGCGGGATAATTTATTTGGGGTTTTTAGAGCCTCTAGGTTTTTCTGATCAGTCCAGACCTGAAAAGGGATTTTATTCCCTTCCAGAAAGCATCGCCAGGTGAGGAGTGCCCACCTAACTGCATAGGCCTCTTTTCCCTACACTGCCCAACATTGCTCAGTTTCTGTCAGTTTTTTCGATGTGTAAGCACAAGGATGTAGTTGGCCCTTTTCATTTTGCTGCAGCAGTATTCTCCCATGACTACATCACTGGCATCGGCCTGAATAACAAAAGGTTTTTCAGGGTCTGGATGCTTTAGGACTGGTTCAGTAGAAAAAAGTCCTTTTAACTTTTTGAATGCGGCTTGGTATTCCATAGTCCATTTTAGTGGCTGGCTAGGTTTCAGTTTGTCCATCCCTTCCCCCTTGTATTCAACAAATTAGTGATGGGGAGGGCAATTTGTGCAAAGGATGTGATGAATTGCCAGTAAAAATTTGTGAAGCCCAGGAAGCTTTGCAACTGCTTTCTGGTGTGACGGGTCGCCCACTCTAACATAGCCTGCACTTTCTCCAGGTCCATTTCAACCCCCTTGTGGGAAATTTGGTAGATCAAGCAGTTGATTTTTTCTTTGTGGAATTTGCACTTTGAAAGCTTAGCGTACAGTTTGGCAGCACAGAGTTTATTTAGAACCACTTTGACCAATTTCACATGCTCTGCTTTCATTTCAGTGTAGATTAATATGTCATAAAGTTACACCAAAACCCCCTTATACAGGTGCTCATGGAGCACTTCATTTATCAGCTGCGTGAACACCGTGGGAGTCCCTTGTAATTCAAAAGGGAGCACCTTGAATTGGAAGCACCCCAGGGGGGCAGTTAAAAGCAGTTTTCCATTCATCCCCCTCCTTAATTCTGACTCAGTAGTACGCTTCCTGTAAGTCTAGCTTAGAAAATATTCGAAAGGTGTACCAGCATGTCTTTCACGAGTGGGAGGGACTACACATTTTCCACAAATATCTATAATCCATGCAGAGATGAAGAGACCCATTTTTCTTCTCCCAGAACAGAACCAGGGCAGCCACCTTGGGTGTAGCTGGTTGAATGAAGTCTCAGGCCAAGTTTGTGTCTATAAACCCATGCAGTTCAGTTAACTTTTTGAGACAGCTGCCACTTCTCTGTGGGGTCCCTCCTTTGCTTTGTGGCTGCCACTGCGTGAGGCTCACTCCCTCCTTGGAAACTTCAAGAACCCCTTCCTCCAGTCCACCCATGGGTTCCATTTTTTGAGCCAAGCCAATCCTAAGACGAGGGGCCATTCCATTCTGGGTGCCACTATAAAGGTTAGTGTCTCAGAGTGGCTTCCCATAGTTAGGCCCATGAGCTAGATGGCAAAGAGGGCTACAACTGACCCATCTAGCTGACAAAAAGCAATTGGGTTCTTTAGTGCTCCTCAGAGAGACCCCAGTTTTCCTACTAAGGTGGGCTTATCAAGCATCTGGTGTACTCTGAGTCTAGCCATGCTTTTAGAGTCACTTTCCTTTCCATGCCTGGGATTAACAGTTCTATGGGCATGGCTACTGGCATGATCGGACCATTTACCAGGGGGTCGTCCTTGTAGTCACTGTCGGAGGGTCCCAGCTCTTCTGATGGAGTCGCAGTCCTCTCTTTTGGTTTAGAGGAGGGACGGAACTCTACGACTTCAGCACTCTTTAGGGCCATGTCCTTGGCATGCTGGGGGGGGGGGTTCATCAGCTTTCTGCCTGGCAGTCAGTCTCCTTTCTTTGCTGGGGTCTTCATCCGGCATTCCGCTGCCTGGTGACCCTCTTTACCGCATTTGAAGCAGACGGTCGAGCATGGTGGGGCTGTCTGGGCTTTGACAGTCTCTTCTTCTCTGGTAGAGCCCATTTCTACATCCTGCCTGATCGGTACTGGTTCCATGCCTGGTTGATCTCTGCTTCTTCAGCCAGGATGCACCAATCATGGAAGTGAGCAGGGGCCCCTCTGGCGATGCAGGCATAGTACAGGTCGTCATTCAGCCCATCCTTAAAGCAGCTCACCAGGATGTCTTCCAGCCAGCTGAAGTGGCAAGCTAGATCTCAGAACTCCTCGGTATACTCAGCCACTGGGCAACAGCCCTGCCTCACAGTTCTGTCATGATCGGCTAGGGGGTCTTCAAACCTCCATTTCAGTGCTGTCATGAAACGGCTGAAGTTTCAAAGCTCTGGGGTGTTGGCATTGTGGAGGGTCACTATCCATCAGGCAGGAACCCCCTCACCACGATGACCACCCTGACCCTAGCCCCTTTGGAGGGGATGTCTCGCCCATATTCTTGCATGTTAGTGAGGACATGGGTTAGGAAAGAACCCCAATTGCTGGGGGTCTCCATCAAACTAGATGCAAAGAGGGGGTGCCTTCTGCTGATGCCCCCCCCATACTAACTCTCTGGACATTCACACAATCAGGGTCCCTTTGGGGAGGGCTGGCTGGTGTGGTTGTCCCCCTCTCTGCGGATTCGGCAGCGCCAGCATCTGTCTCCAAGGTCGGGGATTCCCCCCTTCTGCATGAAGCTTCCTCTTGCCTCCATCATCCCTTTCCATGTGGGCTATGGCTTCTCGTGTTTTCAGGCCCTGGAAAGCTTCCATCATGGAGTGCATGGCTTGTTTCATGAGGCAGTCGGCGTGATCCGGTTCTTCTTCTGGTTTGCCATCATCATACAGCGCTTCTATCTTGTGCCTTCAGCCATGCTGTTGGCTGCCACAGGTGAGGGTGACTCCTTTGATACTTCCCGGTCCTCCTCCTTCCCCATGCCAATGGACCATCTTGGCCTCAAGGAGACTCTCCAGGGCAGCAGCTTCCTCTGTCCAGCCGGCGGAGTTTGTGTCGGGCTGAGTTTTGGTGGAGGATTCCTCACAACACTCAGCTTCTTCATGCTTGCTGCCCTGGTTAGACATCATGTGCACAGTCCCCACAATAGGGCTGATGCTGCTCTGGGTTGACCACTTTGCAAATCCTGACTAAGGTAAAGTCTCACCTCAGCTAGTCCCGCAAGAAAGTCGAACTCTTGAAACCAAAAGGAGAGGTAGTGAATGCAGAGAAAATAGGCAGGTTCTAATTCCTGCACGAAAACATTAGGTTAAACCCCAAGATTCAATGCCCAGTCCATTGAGAGCCAATCCAGAGATGTGATGGTGTTGTGAGAACTCCAAGCTGAGAAGGTGATAAGAAGTTGTTCTCAGGCGCTTCGACCTTGGTTCTCCAGAGATGAGACAAAGCAGATGGCCACAGGCTCATCCTTCCCCCCTCCCATCTCCCAGGAAGATACATCAAAGCAAAAGAGGAACAAAGTAAAATGAATACATCACAAAAAGCCCCGAGGTTCCCCCCTCCCACCAGGATGGCAGTATCCCGATAGAGATCTATGGGACCTGACAGAGTATCTATGTATGTTTATATCTAAATCTGCAATTCCTTTTAATTTTTAGCCACAAAAGAGCCCTTTATCATTAATATTAATTTAACAGTTTATCCAGTACTTAGCTTTGATTCTTATATTCCTAATTCCATTAATTAAGGAGACTATGTAATCAAATTTTAGTGCCTGATTCTCAGCAGTTTTCTTTATTGCTTTTTTTGAAGAATCTTTTTTGAGTGATGATTCTATAATCTCACCCATAAATGAGGATTCTCAAACTGAAGTAGAAGAGTTTTTGGTGTCTCCAAATAAACCACGAACAACAGAGGATCTGTTTGCAGTAATTCACAGGTAAGTTAATGTTACCATAACTGGAAACTGTACTTTTTATTGTCATAATAGCAATTTATTCAACATAATCGTGATAAAGTGCTTGTTTCAGAAACTTTATTTTTCAGTCTAAACCAATATAACTATTTCTATAGTTTAAAATAGGAATTACAGATGATCAGTAAGTATGTTGTTTCAATGAAAACTCAAGGGAAATGCTCCTTAGAAATTGCTTTGTGAAAGTGAAATAAAGTGGCCATATTTCCGCATTTCTCCTTGCTGCAAGTCCCAGTTGAACCTGCAAAACCCCATGAATTACCTTATCAAAGCAGATGGTTCTCCCTGTTTGTTGTTTTAATAGTTCAAACCACTATTGATGCCAATCAAAATTGCCTTTTGTAAGCTCACTATGAAAGTTAAGTATTGGAAAAAATGAAAGCATAGATCATGATGCAACTTGTTTACATTTTTAAACTGTCATTCATAATTACCCCTTTGAATATACTTTTTTTTATTAAAAAGTATATTGGGAGCAAATAGAGGGAATGGAGTGCTAACCTGAAAGTAACCGTTGGGAGAGAAAAGAGAAAGTGGTTGAATTTCAGACTTTCTCTCAGCACAATCCACCTCACAGGATTGCTGTTGTGGAGAAATTAGGAGGAGGAAGGTATGTTGATATGTTTGCCGCCTTGAGTTATTTGTAAACATAGCAAAGGCATGATACAAATAAATAAATGAGGAGTCTTTGCTGTTCTCTGAGTTTGGCTGCTTTCTTGCAGAATTTCCATTACCCAAACAAGGTAACATCATCAGTGATATTAATGCAAATAAATAAATAAGACTCCTGCTACTGCTATTCGTTTTCCCCCACATGTAATTAATTACCTGAAGATCACACTGTGGAGCTTTGTGAATACATGCACAGCATTGCTTGGGAAAGAGTACAAGCAGTAAGAACCCTGCCTGAAGTTACCATTGAAGAAATTCTATTTTACAAACACTACGAAGAGACTGTGCCAAGCACAAATTACCCTACAAAAGAAGAATAAAGTATTGTGGAGGTTTTTTCAGGAATAAACTGAAGAAAATATCAGGGAAGTTGTTTCCACTCAAATAAAGCAGGGATGCAAGTACAATGCTTGGCTTTTATATGAAATATTTTATTATTTGATTACTTGATTATCTGCCATTAAGTTGGTGGCAGCTTGGATGAACCATACAGACAGACTTTCTCCAGAATGATCTGTCTCCCTCCTCACCATGTTCTATGGCTTTCTCTCCTACTGTTATGTATATGTTTTGCATAGGGCAATTGGATGTTCTGCTATTCCAATTTTCCTAAGAATATTCCACAGCTTGATATAGTTGAAACATTCAACGGAGTTTAATGTCTCATTGAACATATTATTGATTTCTTTTTGGTATTCTTTGACTTTCCCATTAATGTCTCTTGTTTCCTGTTTCTTGTTCAAGGTAGCTTAAACATCTGCTGTCTCCTTTTCCTATGTAGAGTTCTAATTTGTGTTGAGAGATCTTAAGCATTATTTTGGTAATATGTGAAATGTAGCATATTGTACAATATTTTGCATAATCTGGTAAGTCTCTTCTTTGATATTGATATGCAAACTCATGTCTTCCAATCTTGGCCACTATGTATTTCTCCAGATTTGCTGCCATAGTTTGAGTAGAATCTTTACTGCTTCTGCTGCTGCATTTCCTCTGGCCATATCTTTGCTGTATTAATTGAGCTTTTCTAGCTCCTTTTACCAATAATATAGTCAATTTTATTTCTGTGTCTCTCTGGGAAGGTCTGTGTACATTGGCATTTTTTGGGTTTGAAGACTATGTAGTAATGAAAAGCATCATTGGATTGGCAAAAACTGGTACCATTCTTCTGCTTCATTTCTATTTCTTGTGCCATATAGTCCAATTACATTTCTCTCTTTGCTACTTACAACAATGATATTTCAGTCTACAACCACAAACAGTACAGACTGCTTGCATTTTCTATCAATTTAAATTTGAACATGAGCATAAATTTCACCAACCTCCGGTTCTTTTACATCAGTAGTTGGAGCATAACTTGAATAACTGTTGTAGCAAAGAGTTTTCCATTAAGTCTAACTGATGCAATTCAGTCATTGATGGTATTGCATGCAAATATAGTCTTTGCTATATCTTTTCTGACTATATCAACATTGTTCTTTTTTTGTTTTTCATATTGTAATAAATAGTAAGATCTTCTGATTGAAAGTTGCCAATTTCAGTTCATTGCTATTAGATAATGCCTAAGATGTCAATATGTAGCTAATTCACTTGTCTCTTATTGTCTCTCATGGTGATGAGCTTTCCCATGATCATGTTTTCTACATTCCATCTTCCCAGTGTAATTTTATTTTTGCAGTTTTGGATTTTTTTCCTCCATAGCAGCCTCAGCAATTAGATGTCAAGATGATTTAATCTAACCATACCATAAATATTTTTAGTACTCCAAATGATCCTCGCTCATTCTGTATAACATGTTCAGTGCCTTTTAACCTGACATGCCATCATTTGACACTATAATGCAAATCGTGACTATCCGTGTGATTTTCTTGGTAAAATATAGAAATGACTTACTATTGCCTTCTCCTGCACAGTATGAATTGATGCCTTTGCCATAGTTGCTAAAGTAACCAGCCACTTCTAGCATCTTCTCATATCTCTGCTGACCAATATAAACATTGTCACATTTTATCTGAGAAGCTGAGATAACTTTCATGACTTGGGCAACCCTACTGGGAGTATATGTAGTTTAGGTATACATTTCCAGCATTTTTTGGTCACCCTTCCTAGGCTTGATGAGGCAGCACAGATTAACTTGAGGGGACCTGAAATCTTACTCATCTTCATATGAGGATACCAAACTCCGTCAAGGTAGTGACCTTGGGAGGTTCGACATTTTTTAAAAAATCTTGTAATTGTAGTGATCTTGATATTCATCATAATTTGCATATCATGACTACCATATATTACTGGCAGCAGTCTTGGTCCAAGTTTTTATTTTTTATTTTGCTTTGCAGTATTTCCTAAATTATCAGGGGCGAGAGGAGCCACAATATAACTAAATTCCATTTCACCAGCTCTGGTCTTTTTGTTTTACAATTTTTCCATTTGCCTCTCCAGTTTAAGAAACATTACCATGTCTAATATCTGGAAGGTAGAGTCCTCATTTTCATGGATGATGAATTAGGTTTGTAGGTATGTAGTTATTAATAGTACAGTAGGGGAGTCCTGTAATGAGATATGATTTAAATTTCTGGATCTAGGCAATGGATCCCAAAATGCTATGTCATATAACATATAATTGTGTCAACTTTGATTATGTGTGATTAGATAAATTCACATAGATATGATGTTTATGTTTCAATACCATGAATATTGAATGTAATTCTTTTCATAACAGGTCAAAAAGGAAAGTGCTCGGAAGAAAGGATTCTGGAGACCTTTCTTCAAGGAACAGACTGAAAGCTTCATCTAGTAGTAATAGTGTGTCTTCTGTCAGTAGCACCTCACCTACAACTAGTATCCCCCTTATTCCTACCAGTGTGGGAAATTCACCTTGCAGCCAGAGGTCTCCTGGACTTATTTATCGGAATGCCAAAAAGTCCAGCACATCGAATGAGGAATTTAAACTACTGCTCTTGAAAAAAGGTAGTCGGTCTGATTCTAGCTACAGGATGTCAGCCACTGAGATATTAAAGAGTCCTATTTGTCCCAAATCTCCCGGAGAACTAATTAGAGATACTGTTCAAACTGCAGATGAACCCTTCCAAGCCTCATCAAGTGCCGAGGCATTAGCTCCTCTCTCTCCTTCTCCCCCAAGGATACACGCAGAAGGGTTTTCTTCCAAAAGTTTTCTCACATCAGCATCTTCACGTGTAGGACGATCACGAGCACCTCCAGTTGCAAGCAGTAGCCGATACAGTGTTCGCTGCAGATTATATAACACCCCAATGCAAGCTATTTCAGAAGGAGAGACAGAAAATTCAGATGGGAGCCCACACGATGATCGATCTTCTCAAAGCTCAACATAAGTTGCCTAAGGGTCTCAGCACAATTCTGACTGCGAAGTGGGGAACTCTGCATTTGCTAAGCTTTGCATTTGTTAGGCTAAAAAGCATATTCTGTAGCAGTCAAATACCTTACAAGGCAATATGTGATGCTTGAAAATGTTAAAAGATTGCTAAAAGATGGGATTAAATGATCTATACGTATTTATTATGTCCCATTTCCTATGATTAGAAATACATGGTCAACCTTTAACTTTCTTTTTTTCCCCATCCCTCTCTCTCTTCTTTCCACCCTCAGTGTAAATTTATCCAGTTTTCTATAGTCCTTTCTTTTCTCCAGAAACATTACATTACTGTTATGCTTCCCTCGGGGTGGCAAACATAACATTGGTGAGGAATTAATATTTTTTTACATTAAAATGAATTGAAATAAAATAGAATGAACAAAACAGATGTACATATCTGTATTTTTGATAAGCAAATGTAAATAAAATCATTGCAGAGAAAAATGTGAGTAGCAAATGACAACTATCTTAAATGATAAAAAAGAATAAAAATAATGACTGTATTCTGTGAATACAATTTTCAGCAACTTTATTCACATATCAATCACTACCACTTTAAATAATTAAAGCCTCTAACATGAATTTAACACTTGGATTAATGGAAATCCTAATAATAAAAACCATGAAATTAAATAATATCTGGTTTTCTTTGACAATGTCATTCCAAGCAAGCTAATTTTAAAATGCAATCTGTGAAAAGAGGCTAATTGACAAATACTACAATATTTATAAACCAGGTTTTCTGATCTGGCTTCCCCCTCTTAAGAATTCTGAGAAGTGTAGCTATGTGGAAGTTTTTTGGTATATCAACAATTGTATCACTTTTTTCACTTGTCACTTAAAACCATTTTAAAGTTCCCTAAAGTTTATTTCCATTCTCATTTCTTCATTCAGTTTCTTTCCTTGTCATCATCCACTTGTTTACATACTACAGTTCTCTGAGGAAATCTTTGTGTTAGTTTTCAGATTTCTGTTGGATTGTCTTTTCTGCATTTGCTGTAGAATGATGCTAATAATAATATTATTTTTGAATAGTTGTAAACAAGGAATTGCACTGAACATGCAGACTGCATAGAAACTACAGAAGTAGAAACATTAAAGAAAATCTGGATTTTTAATCTTACCCAGTCATATTATAGCACAAACTACAGTGCATATAATAAGTCTTTGCAAAGCTAGTATAATCCATAGTATTCCAGCCACAGTCATGCCTATTGCAATACGTTTATAATGGCAAATTTTATTTGCATTAAGAGAATAAATTTATTAAGTTATTACAAACTCAGGAAAAATAATTTATTTGTTTTTAAATTACAAAATAAAATCCCATTTATATCAGGATCTCCTTTCTTTACTGCTCCTTAACTATCATAGGAATGTCAAGATTCTGGATTTCCGAGTTGTGTTTTATAGGCTAGCAACATTTTACTATAGGACTTGAAATTTAATTACGAAGTTTTTCTTTAAATAATATTTAAAGTAACATTTATACACTTGCTCATTCTATAACAGCTAGAACTTGTTCTGGGTATCTGGAGATTTGGCTTATTACCTGTATTGATACTACAGATCACCATGAGCTCTGCCTTTAGTTCTCGGGCTATCGATCATGTATCCATCATTTTTATCTGTTTCATAGGTTTGCTGTGAGGATCAAATGGGAAAGTTCCTTAAAAGAAAGTTGTGTAGGCTACAAAGGTGATTAAATAGTATGATTAATATTCTTTTATGTGCGAGCTATTGAAGAACAATAAAATACATTGCTTTCTAATTCCTGTGATAATGGCATAATTGTCACTTTGTCCATCATCTTGTATATTTAATAATTCAGTTTTTCAGTTCTAACAAAGAACTACAATTCCCAGAGTTCTTAGGGGAATAGAATAGAATAGAATAGAATAGAATAGAATAGAATAGAATAGAATAGAATAGAATAGAATAGAATAGAATAGAATAGAAGCTGGAAGGTACCTTGGAGGTCTTCTAGTCTAGCTCCCCACTCAAACAGGAGAATCTATACCATCTCAGACAAGTGACTGTCCAGTCTCTTCTTAAAATCTCCAGTGATGGAGTGCCCACGATTTCTGAGGGCATGCTGTTCCACTGGTTAATTGTCCTCACTATTAGAAAGTTTCTCTGTAATTCCAGGTTGCTTCTCTCTTTGGTCAGTTTCCAACCATTGTTTCTTGTCTTGCCCTCTGGTGCTTTGGAGAATAGTTTGATGCCCTCTTCTTTGTGGCAGCCCCTCAAATACTGGAATACTGCTATCATGTTGCCTCTGTTTCTTCTTTTCTTTAGACTAGCCAAACCCAAGTCCTGCAGCTGTTCTTCATATGTTTTAGTCTCCAGGCCTTTGATCATTTTAGTTGCTCTTCTCTGAACTTTTTCCAAGATCTCGACATCTTTTTTCTAGTATGGTGACCAAAATTGGTTGCAGTATTCCAGGTGTGGTCTTACTAGGGTAAGCAGTACTAATACTTCTCATGATCTTGATTCTATGCTTCTGTTTATACAACCCAGGATTGTATTATCTTTTTTGGCTGCTGCTGCACACTGCTGGCTCATAGTCAAGTGATCGTCCACTAGGACTCCAAGGTTCCTCTCACAGTTACTGTTTTTGAGCCAGGTCTCGCCTAATCTGTACTTGTTATCTTTGATTTTTCCTGCATAAATGTAAAACCTTGCTTTTCTCCTCATTAAAACTCATTTTGTTGGATTAGGATCCATTGTTCAAGTTTGTCAAGATCTTTATAGATCCTGAGCTTGTCTTCTGGAGTGTTGGCTATTCCTGCCAGTTTGGTGTCATTGCAAATTTGATGAGTTCCCCTTCTATTCCCTCATCTAAGTCATTAATGAAGATATTGAAGAATATTGGGCCTAAGACGGAACCTTGTGATACCCCACTGCTTACTTCTCTCATTGGAAGCCATATTCAATGGACAGACATGAGAGCTATAGTGCCAGCATAACTATTAGCATTGGTGTTTGGAATGAAAAACACACATAGAAAGGACAGTAGAAATACAATTTTAAAAAAAATCTTCTTTTAAGAAAAAAAATCAGGCATCCAGCTTTTTCTATGATATTTGGCACTTAATATGGCCAGTGATTATAGTTGTTTCATACTATTATTACAGCTAGATAGTTAGGAAACCTAGCACTGCTCTGATAAACAAAACAAAATTAATTTCATGTTCATAGCTAAGTAACTATTAAGCATGCAACAAATGCTGTTGATTCATGAATAAACTACAATAATATTTCAGTGAAACTTTGTATGGACAACATTCATCTACCTGAATATGAAAACTGAAAAAAATAAGATAGGCATATGTATGCATTCTTTATAAATCTTATAAACATGAAATAGAAAGTCTCTGATTTATATTGTTCAGTTACTTTCTGTTTAGATTTTACTAAAAATGCTTACAATACTAGGAAAGGAGTCTATAGTGGATGGGGTGCAGAAGAAATCAGAGCAAATATTTTGACTAAATGAAAGCAGAAGAAAACTGCATTACCTGAAGTTGCTTGAAGTTTTTTGTTAGAAGACCAATAGCAAAAGCATGCTGATGAATCAAACTACAATAGGGATTTTTAAAAGTCATCCAAATATAATCTTTTCCCAGTATACAACACATCAGTTTGCCATGTGTAACCTGCTCTAAAATGAATTATTTGAATCAGGTTGTAAAATGCAGTTCATCAAACTGGAGAGCTAATTAAAGGAGAATTTAGGAAGAAAGATTTTGAAACTATTTTGAGATGAAATGTATTGTCAAATTCAGACTGATTTAAGTAGATAGTCACTAGTAGAGAAAGAAAGCTCCTGGGGAAGGTGGCCTCAAACAGAAGTAAATTCTTGTAGGAATCTAGGAAAAGTGAAAATCAGGGGAAGATTATTTCTTACAATGCTCACAATTTAGCAGTGAGAACATTAACTTTATTGAGCAAATTATTACATATTTTCAAATTTTAATTATTTTTTCTTTGTAACAGATTGATAAAAACACACAGTCTTTTTTTAGATTTAAAATCCTCCAGTATGGGGAAAAAATAAAAGAATGGTTAGCATGTGTATAGAAAGAGATACGAGAATAGGGTGCCTGCTCAATTCTAAGATTTGCCACATAGGCAAAGTATTTAGTTGAGCTTATTTGCATAGGTGAGCCAGGATGTCATGATAAACTATCATAATTAATTTGCAATCGGTTAGTTGGGAGAACAATAATTGAGTGAAATAGTATTGGTAAAGCAGTGTGGTAGAGTGATTAAAGTGTTGGATTAAGACCAGGGAGACCAAATTTCTAATTATTCTTTGGTTATGGTAGCTCAATGGTTAACTTTGGCTGATCAGTTTCTTTCAATCCAACTCTCTGAAAGTACTGAGTACAATGCTTTGAGCTCCTAAATGAAAGGCATGATGGAAATGTAACAAACAAATGAATAGGGACATATTAACGTGCAGCAATTGCAGCTTAACTAATTAAAGCAGAATTTAGGAAGAAAGATTTGAAACTATTTTGAGATGAAATGTATTATCAAGTTCAGACTAAGTCTAGTAACTGCTTTAAGTAGGTAGTCACTTAAGAAAGGTAGCTCCTGGGGAAGCTGGCTTCAAACAGAAGTAAATTCTTGTAGGAATCTAGAAAAAGTGAAAATTGGGGAGGATTATTTCTTACAATGCTCACAATAAGGAATAAGAACACTTACAATAAATAGTAGGTTGTCAAAAAGCCAGTGAAAGAGAATGTATTGGAGAGAGAGAAAGATTAACGTAGCTTTAAAAAAAAAAAATCATACCATTGGTATGCAAGGCCTAAGTGCTGTTTAAGATCACCTTCCCTAAGATTACAAGAGCTATTTTACTGTTTGATTCAAAGGTTGATTATGTTTTTTAATGCTAAAGTGAGATAGCATCAATTACAATGCTTTGATGTTATAGGCAAATTCAGTACTATTCTCATTTAGGATCAGAATGCCAAATCTGTTCAATAAAAATGCTACATAAGGTATATTAAAGTTGAATTGGTTTGTTCAAAATACTAAACTATACATTTCATCCAGGCCATTTGTGCAGTTATCTGTATATCAAACCAGAGTTACCCAATCTTTCCAGTTTTGTGGACCAGTTGGGGGGGGGGAGATGGTTCTGTCCGAGTGGCCGGCAATCACACACGCGCACGCAACTCCATTTGTGTGAGCTGCAGGCACACGTACCTGTTGCTTGCACAAATGGAATACACACACTCGCCTGCTGTTCGTGTAAGTAGGGATGTGCATCCGTGCATGCACATGCCCAGCACTTCTGCGGCCTGGTTCCAAATGGCTCAGGATCCAATAATGGGCTACGGCCCGTGGGGACCCCTGTATCAAATGATTGCATATAACCATTACAGACTTACTCCTCAGAAACATAATTTGAATAAGAAGGCAGATAAATAATTCTATGTAATGCTATCTATCTATCACAACCTCTTACTTTATTTACAAAAAATCTATTTTTTGTTTATAAAAATAAAGCCCAAACTATGATGGATTATAAATCCACTTTAAAAAACTATTTGTGTTATTATTTGCTAACTCAGATTGAGCACTCTGTTATAGGCATCTGAAGTTCTGATGCCACTTGTGAAATCAGGCAGAAGCAAAATTTACCATGTAGAATATTGCTCTCCATTTAACAATGTGAGCAGCTTCTGCTGATAGAGTGTGTTGATAACAATTATCAAAGACCACAATTACCTAGGAATAAGCTTCACTAAATACAATGAGATTTCTGTAAATTTTATAAGGTGGTGGTGCACAAGTAGGATGTCTTCAGAACCCAAAGAAACTTAACATCTCAGAAAATAAACCTAGAAACATTTCTAATGTATGAATCGTAATTATAACTTACAATTCTGTTTGCATTGATGTTTCAAGAATATGTTTTGAAGCTATGCAGTTGTTCATTTGATAACATTTATTTTCTTTTGTAATATGGCAGCATAGAGTATTGATTAATTATAGAAATAAAGCATATGTTTGCATTTGCCAAAGGCCACACTGATAAGAGTACATTTGCTGCAATTGTGGCAGATTTAAAGAAATATCTAGGTTATGACTTAAAAGTTTAAAAACTAATTAAGAAGGTTACAGTGTAACTATTTTGGTACTAGCACCAGTTCATGCTGGCAGAAAAGACAATGGTTTATGGACTTGCATCCATTTTGTATTTTTGTAATATTTGTAAATATAAACTTTTTAAATTGTTGCAAAAAGTTTCTTTTGTAAAATGTTTTCAAAGTTTACATTAAAACCAAGCCAGTTTGTATATTTTAGAACTGTGCAACACTTTA